TGATTATCGCATGCCTCTTACTTGTTATACTGTAATTATTTATATAAAAAAACATCTATTAAAAACAGCAACACACAAGTTTCTTGCTCATTCTTCTTGTGATGAATCTGCATTCCGAATGAGTGGTAGAATCAAAATATGACTATTCAAAAGTGCTTGTAATGAGTTTATTTGAATAAAGAATATTTCTATTTCTATAGGAACTAGCAACTCCCATTGCTAACAATGTACCATGTCAGGTCGACCTCCACGTGGTTCCCCCTGGAAACTATCATGATACATTCCCGGTGAATTTGTCACGTTGGGCTAACTGATCTGACCTCATGGTCATCTTGTCATCCTCCACTGGTGCCCCGCCAGCGTAAACCGTTAGCGCAGGCGGGGGCACCAATCCATTATCATCCTTTAAAAATATATCTCACATATTATACCTATTTATGTTCATGTATGTTCATATATGTTTTACGAACACTGATTACACTATTTGTTTTTGACAAACTTACAATAGCATATGCTGGTGGTCATAGAGTGACCACCAGCATATGCTATTGTAAGTTTGAATTTGAATTTAGAAACGAATCTGTATTACAGTGGACAATTGAAAAGAATACGAGCTGAGTTTCTTGTCAGTTCTTCTCATCTCGAAATCACTCCGAACTGACGGTAGATTTGATATATCATAAGAGCCTGTAATAGACCTACATGAATAAAGATTTGATTTCTGTATTTATGCATTTTACAGGTAAAGACGTAATTCACTTGTTTTTGTAGAACATAATACAAGCATAATTGCTTTTGACAGAATTGCAATATCATATGCTAGTTATCACTCTATTCTCCCAAATTTGAATTTAAAAATGAATCTGTATTAATGTGAACAATTGAAAAGAATACGAGCTGAGTTTCTTGTCAGTTCTTCTCATCTCGAAATCATTCCGAACTGACGGTAGATTTGACATATCATAAATCTATAATAGATCTACAAGAATAAAGATATTTTGATTTGATTTGATTTCTGTATTCATTCAATTTACAGGTGAGACGTAAATCACTTGAGGTTTGAGTGGAACATAATATAAGCAGTTAGAAATTTGTAATGGAGTTCCGCAAAACTGCATTGTCGGTCTCAACCCAACTAAGTTCAGGGAAGTTTTGTGTTTGCGTATACAGAGGGTACATGCCACTAGTTGTGTACCCGTATGTCTGTATTGTCCTTATTCATACGAAACTATGTCTATTTGCAAATGTTCGAAATATATTGTCAGCGTTCCTTGTTGTGAAATGTTAATAAACATGGACAAATCGCAAAGCGCCATCTAGTAGTAATAAGCAGAGCTTGCGTTATGGGTATAGACAACTGATACAAATCTTTTAATCTATTTTTTGTTAATAAATATATAATATATATAGAAAATACGAACAATCATACTAATGAATACAAATGTTTGTATCATACGAATAAATGAATCCGCGACCGTCGGAAGTAAGGCGTTATGCTAAACTACTAGACCAGTGAGGTCGTTAAAAATATCATACAAATAATATATCCTTCGAACTTTGGTCAACTTCTTGATAATTCTAGAAGAGGTAGACAACTTCACAGACAGCTCTAGTGGTTTAACACAATGCCTTACATCTGATGGTAGCGGGTTCGATTCCTACAGTATGAACATTTGTATTCATGTTTGTGTTAGTTCGAGAATTTTCTATATATATATATATATATATATATTATAAATATATATACATTATACATAGAAAACACCGAGACCGATACAATCATACTTATGATTGCGCCATGCCGTGCGAGGAATCCAACCCGCGACCATTGGAAGTAAGGCGTTATGCTAAACTACTAGACCAGTGAGGTCGTTAAAAATATCATACAAATAATATATCCTTCGAACTTTGGTCAACTTCTTGATAATTCTAGAAGAAATAGAAATAGAAAATCATTTATTCAAATAAACTTACATTGAAGCACTTTTGAATAGTCATCACTTTTTTTTTAATCTACCGCTCATTCGGAATGCTGTCTCATCACAAGAAGAACAAGCAACTTGTGTGTGGCTCTTTTAAATAATTTATTCTTACTTTACAATTTAAGTTTAAGTGTGTGAATACAAACTACCGATTAGCACTAATTAAATTAAATAATAAAATAGAATAGGAGAGGTAGACAACTTCACAGACAGGTCTAGTGGTTTAACACAGAGCCTTACATCCGATGGTAGCGGGTTCTATTCCTTGCACGGTACAAACATTTGTATTCATGAGTATAATTGTTTGTATCGGTCTGTCTAGCGGTCCAGCACACCGACGACCTCGGTGGTCTAGCGGTCCAGCACACCGCTTTACGTCCGATGGTCGCGGGTTCGATTCCTCGCACGGCACAAACATTTGTATTCATGAGTATGATTGTTTGTATCTGTCTGGGTGTTTTCTATGTATATCCTCAAGCCTCAATAATTTTTTAATAGCGATTTTAATGTAACAGAAAAACAACATTTGCGGGGTCAGCTGGTATATATATATTTTATTACAATGAAGACCTCCATTGTTTTGAGTGAATTAAAAGAGACGGATTTTTTTTTATTTCATAAACTTATCAGCAGTTGGGGCACGTAAAATATTTGAAAGCGGAGTAGGTGGCAGGAACCTCCATAAAATTAAGTTACTGAGGATGTTGGCGACAAGTTTTCCTTATATTTTCTCATAAGGCACTCTATTATCTATACATTAGTGTTGTTAATCGCTTCAACCTGGATCTAGAGTATAATTCACATATGCTAAGCAGAAATTGTTATGGGTACTAGACAACTGATATAAATATATTTTTATAAATACACAGTAATATTGATTACTACTTTTATTTTTCTAAAATAAAAGTAGTCAACCATAATACATCAGATACCTGCCAAAAAAAGTCCCATCGGTCCAGCCATTTCAGAGATTAGCCGGAACAGATTCGTCCGCGTGGAATTTAAATATTACAAACAGACACTAATTATATTTATATTTATTATCAAGAAACTAAAATAAAAATGCCGTCTACACAAAGTTAGTAATTCATTTTATGGTAATTGCGTAAGATTCTTAAACTACATCAGATACCTGCCAAAAAAAGTCCCATCAAAATCGGTCCAGCTATTTCAGAGATTAGCCGGAACAGACAGACAGCAGGCAAAAATTGTAAAATATGCTATTTTGGTGTATGCGCTGTATTTATATACATATGCAAGTAGTAAAAAACGTTTATTTCAATATTACAAGCAGACACTCCAATTATATTTATATTTGTGTTATGTTCAACTAGTTTATACCCGCGACTTCGCTCGCATAACTTCATCACTGGCTGCTAGATGTCGCTTAAGTAGTAAAATGTTGCTATTTTATTTTTATGTATTTTATAAAACTTATTCCTTTTTTTAATAAAAAATATTCTATATTCATTCTAATACCTGTAAGAACATGTGTACAAAATTTCACGATATCATCAGTTTAGTAGTTTTTGCGTGAAAGTGTAACAAACATCCCGAATTTCACATTTATGATATTTGTACGTATTTTATTATTGAACGACCAATTGTTACTAACAAATAATTTATTGTACCTATACAAATAAATCAAAATGTGCTCTGTTCATAATTTCAATTGAGCAGCATTTCATTAAATGATTAAAATACATATGATCATCATCTGCTTCTTCCTTATCCCATTTATTTGTGGTCGACGTAATATGTTTTTCTTTTCCATTCATCTCTGCAGTCATCGCGTTATTTACTCCCTTTCTTACCATATCATCTTTCACATAGTCCATCTATCTCTTTTTCGGTCTTCCTCTACCCTTATAACCATCCAAATTCATATGTAGAATAGAATAGAATAGAATAGAAAATCATTTATACAAATAAATTTAATTTAAGCTCTTTTGAATAGTCATAACAATTTATTTTTTATCTACCGCTCATTCGGAAAGCTGTCTCATCACAAGAAGAACGAGCAAGAAACTTGTGTGTTGCTCTTTTAAATAATCATTGTAAGTTTACATTTACAAGTCGAAACGTGAGAATACAAACTATCAACCAGCAATAATTTTTTTGTGTCAAATATAAGTATACAATAAGATTAAATCATTCGTAGTGATAAGAGTAACTAAAGTATATAACACCATCCTTAGGATATGATCTTCATTCCTACGCATTACATGCCCATACCACGATAGACGATTACTCTTTAACCTCTCTGACATCGGTGCCACTTTCATACGTCCTCTGATGTATTCATTTTTTAATTCATCGTCATCTTAAAATTTAATTAAAATATATATAAAAAATAAAAAAAATCTCTCCATCTGTCGATTTGTCGGCAATAAGTAAGCCGTATCCATAAAAAAAGTTATATTAACAGTGATTTATAACTCTTTATACTTATAAATCACTATTTATATAACGTTTTTATAGATTTATATTGTACTAAAAAAATCACTATGACTGATTTCCTCTTATTAATTGTTTAACCAGTTGGTTGTATATTTAATAGTTTTTCTATTTGACTATTTAATTGAATTAGTGCCAATTAGTAGTTTGTATTCACACATTTAAACTTAAAAATGTAAAGTAATCATAAAATTATTTAAAAGAGCAACACCCAAGTTTCTTGCTCGTTCTTCTTGTGATGAGACAGCTTACCCAACGAGTGGTAGATAAAAAAAAATGTGATGACTATTCAAAAGTGCTTCAATGTAAGTTTATTTGAATAAATGATTTTCTATTCTATTCTATTAATATTCTATTATATTGTGAAACTGTTTGATTATATTAGTCTCATCTGACATTAAATTCGATACTATCCTAAGAATGTTATTTTTCAATTAGAAATAATTACACATAAATATTATTTGAGCTTATATTTATATAATACTGAGAAAGATTCGAGTTGAATTCTCACTACGAAGATTCCTTGCCGATATAAAACGTTTACTATAATGTTGTCATTCATTACTTTTCTGCCTCAATTTTCATTTTTTCATTATGATTTGACATTACTTCTAGTATATCCGAAGTGTTGTCGTAACCTGCAATTAAACGAAATCAAATTAATTTAATTAATTGTCACTAATATAACAATGATTAATTATATTAAAATTTTATTTAATCATTAATTATATTAATAAGTAATTTAATGATTAATTATATTAAAATTTAATGTAACGTAATAACGTGTAATTATTAATTACATAAATTTATTAATATTTGAATTAATGTAATTAACAATTACATGAAATTTTAGTAATAATTAATTATTACTAAAATTTCATGTAATTATTAATAATTACATGTATTTAATGTATTCAATTATTAATTACATTATTTCATATTCAACTTCAAAAATTATTTATTCATGTAGTAGCCGCTTATGAACGGCAAATTTTTTATATTAAATTTAATGTAATTAATGATTACACTAATTTTACTTTATATTTTTACTTATAATTTTAATTAATGAATTCATGGATTTTATGTGACATGTGTGCATCGATAGAGACTTCGTAGAGTCATCTGCGTGGATATCTCAGTCTATCCTATTAGAGCTGACAAGAAGCTTGTTTTTTAAGCTGTAGGGTCCAGATTAGGCAGTGAAATTACAGGATGAGTGGGATGACATCTTTATCCTTCTGAATGGCAACGTGAGCATGAGCACGTAATGTCTGTAGTGCTGTTAATATATATAGACGATAGTTATATTTACAGATCAGGTGAGACGTCAGCTTGTTCCTATTACAGAAAAACTTAAAAAGAATGTATAATATATATTAAAGTATTTACATAACCTAATTATACAACTAAGAACCTAAAATTAAAAAGCTTATAAAAATATATAATATGATGACTAAAATATATTATTAAAAGGGGTCTCTTTAGGCAACGTTCCGAAGATACTGGCAGCGTTCCCTCTTTGAATAGCTAGACTAATTCTTTGTCCAAGGTAGCTGCCAGCTCTTCGGTCTTCTGTGATGTGAATTGATGAAAAGAATTACAACAAGTGTAGAAATTACAACAATTACAAAATGTATAACAATTAAAGAAATGAATATAGTTGTTAATTTTGAATGTAATTTTAAAAATGTATAATATTGATATTCTTTCTTCCTTCCATTTTATCTTGCATGTTTCTGTCTTTCTAATAAATATGAAATAATTTATTTGTAAAATATTTGTACAGAAAATATGACGTTACATGAAATATATTGATCAGCAATATGTGCTGTATGTTAGTCTGTAAGTATAGTATGGGCCATTAAGGCTGCATTAATAGATAAATAAATTTAAAAAAATAATTAATATAATTTTTTAAAACTTCTACTATTTAACTTACTAATTAAGTAACGTATGCTGTTGCCTTTGTTTCTTGCCGATCGTTTTGAATAATTTCCCAATACGAAGTACATTATATGACAGAGTGAAACCACACTCATGAGAGTAAAGAAGATATATCGCCAACAGTGGATGTTCTGTAACAATAATTTATTTCTTTCTTTTTCTTTTTTGGGACAATTCACACAGCGCCATCTAGACCCAAGTTAAGCTAGCTAAAGCTTGTGTTATGATACTGATAGAGGGTAGATAACTGATTCATATACATAGATATTTTTTTTTGTAAATACATACATATTATACATAGAAAACACCCAGACTGATACAAACAATCATACTCATGAATACAAATGTTTGTGCCGTGCGAGGAATCGAACCCTCGCCCATCGGTCGTAAGTCGTCCAATTAATCCATTTATAAACAACCCTTTGTATGTATTAACTAACTATTACCTATGACTTCGTCCATATGGAATGTAACTTTCTTCTTTTTTTAAATAAAGGTACCCTAAGTTACTCCTTACAACATTTTAGCTATCTGCGAGTGAAAGTTCCGTCCAAATTGATTCAGTCGTTTCAGAGATTAACAAGAACGAACAGATTTTTAATATAAACAGACAGATTTTACATACATTTACTCAATACTATTTATTTGTATAGATTAGTCGTTGCGACTTCATTCCGTTACATAATTCCACTTTTTTTTCGGACTACTCTAATGCTGTTGGCCGCAGCTGGCCTTTACAGCTTCACCGGAGGAGAGGTGGTGTGTACAGATGACATTCCAAACCCTCGAGAGAACTTTGGAGTGGCTGAAGGCCAACTCCCGCCTGACGGATACGACTTTAGTCTGAGGGCACCGCTAGGGGTTCGAACCTAAGCTCAGGCCATCGTAATTTCAATCCCCGTCAGAATCCGACGGAGATCGATCGGAAGACATCTGTATCATATATTTCTGCTGCCGAGTAATTTGCTTTATAAACTATGTTTCTGTTTAAAGTCTAAGATACTGCAGTGACATTACAAGGTAAAGAAAAGGGTATGACCTTAGTCCTCGGGGAATGGATAAGGAACAGAATGATCATTGCATCCCATGATGACGAAATATCCGTATTGCACGGTAACTTACTTCTTTGAATAGTTATGACTCTTCCTTTGAAGGCACCTTTAAGGCAAGCTGCCTTATTAGGGTTATTAGGGTTAGTTTAAGGTAAGCTGCCAACTTATGAGTAGTCATTACCAAAACTAAATTAACTTTTGAATATTATTTAACTTAAGATTACTTCTATTTACTATCTATTCCAGTTAAAAGAAATATCAAGAATATACTTACCACATTATCAACAACCAGGAAACCAGTCAACATAGGCACACAAGCACCAACGATACTAGCAACGATGCTGCTCACTATTGAAATGACGTCGGGATCCAAGTCTTTAATCTGTTTGACGTTCCTCTGAAATTATAATGTGTTCAAAATCTACCTTGTAACATCGTAAGCACAGATTATTATATTAGAGTCCGTTAGTTTTCTGTTCCCGCGCCTTTCGTTCCCCTCCATTACCTAGTAACAAACGGACCGTACAGCGACCTTGACGCGCGCGTGCATTGTGTTGTGAATTAAAATAAATTAGAACTGTGTTAAACCTACTGTGAGGCCTGCTGTGAAACTGGAAAGCTAGCGAAGATACCTTCGAGACCCTGAAGCCCAAGAAATCCGCAGAACCATAAAGGTAAATTACTGACGTTTCCCTAACATTTTGGTAGCAGAGTAGTTTCCCAAACATAATGATAATTATTTATTACAGCGCATCTATATTTTATATATAAAATTCTCGTGCCACAGTTTTCGTTCCCATACTCCTCCGAAACGGTTTGACCGATTCTCATGAAATTTTGTGAGCGTATTGAGTAGGTCTGAGAATCGGCCAACATCTGTTTTTTATCCCCCTAAAAGTTAGGGGAAGTCCACCCTTAAATTTTTTTTTATTTTAAGGCAAAACAACGTTTTCCGGGTCAACTAGTATAATATATATACTAAATAACGACATAGATTACATACATATATATATATACTATATAATTACCGTATGTTCACGTGTAACGTCAGTCATGAAAACGAGGTATTTACCCCATACCACGTATGTACCCCATTGTTAAGCAACAAATATTCATTTCATTTCAGGGATGAATGGAAGAAAAAAACTTATTACGCGGACAAATAAATAGGATAAGGAAGAAGCAGATGATGATAGTAATAACAATATGAGAATAATATATAGGCCATAAATTTCACGCAAGTTAAACTGCAGGCACAGATAGTAAAAAATTAATAAAAAAAACTTGGTCCGAAAACTAAAAAAAACGTTAGCACCCCTGATCACAACCGCTATCACTTGGGGGTATGAAAAATAAATAGTAGCCGATTCTCAGACCAATCGAAAACGCATATGAAATTTCATAAAAATCGGTCAAGCCGTTTCGGAGGTGTATGGTAACCTACATTGTGATACGAGAATTTTAATGGATGTTAATGGCAATGGATTTTATTTTATAAGACATTTTTATTCCTTCATACGAATCTCTCAGAGTATGTCAGTTGAAGTGGCAGTGGGCTGGGCATATTAGTAGAGTCAGGGATGATAGATGGGGAAGAAAGGTTATGGAGTGGAGGCCGCGTATGGGTCGACGGAGTGGGCGCCCTCCTGCAAGATGGACCGCCGACATTACGAAGGTGGCCGGGAGTGGATGGAAGCGGAAGGCGGTAGAGCGCACATGGTGGAAGTCTTTGGGAAAGGCCTATATCCATTAGTAGACAGACACAGACTGATGGTAATGATGATGATACGAATCGAAGTTTTAAGGTTAACAATCCTGGTATAATCTGGTATTCTTGTTTATTACCTTTATAGCGTGTGTTTGTATACTCAAAGACGACATTATTATCATAAGCGTAAGGATCGCCGTAATTTTCCAATCTGGTAATAGATACAATAGCGCTGGCAGGCCACATAGAATGCAGATAATACCTGAAAATTTGGGAATACTTTGTTAAAAAACACCATAAATATACTATTACTATTACAGATAGAGTCATTTGCTGGATGTATAAAATAATCTATGTACTATAGACTAGGCTATTCCCCGCGACTTCGACTGTTTTTTTATGTCTTTTGTATTTTCCGTGCTTTTGATTCAATATATCTTCATATATTTCATTAAAATCCATTCTCGCGTTTAGTTTTAACAGTAATTATCATTAACAAACTAGGATAATTCACACAGCGCCATCTAGTACTAAGTTAAGCAGTGCTTGTGTTTTTAGAATAATCTGCGTTTGTGTGTGTTTTTTTATACTACTATAGTGGTAAACAAGCATACGACCCATTTGATGGTAAATGGTTACCGTAGCCTATGAACGCCTGAAACACTAGGAGTGTCACGTGCGCGTTGCGACCCTTAAGAAACCATAATATACCCTTCTTGAAAACCCCATGCTGTAGTCTCGTGAGAAAATCTCGGCAGGAAGTTCAATCCACAATCTAAGTGTACGCGGGAGGAAGCTCCTCTGAAACCGCATTGTCCGAGACCACTTAGGTTCCAGCGTATGGGGATGAATTCCCTGTCGATGGCGAGCGGTGCGATGGTAAAAGGCTGTAGGCATCATGTCGAATAATTCCTCAGAACACATTCCGTTGTGTAATCGGTAGAACACGCAGAGCAAAGCGAAGTGTGTTTGGTACTAAACATCTGTTATGACTATGTTACGAGTACAAACTCCCTATTATTTTTTTTTATTGGGTTGTTTGGGCTATTGTCAGATGTGTAGCACCTGTAGCACTGCGACCTACATAGATCTATTGTGCTCGCCCTTTCCAAAGTTCGCTACCTAGACCCGTCAGGGACAAGAATTGAAGGATATTCTTAGGAGCGATCGTTTTTATCTCCTCGGGAAAGAGTGTAAACTTTCCAAAGGAGATATTTCGTTTATGCATGAGTGGACTACAACCACATAGGATGTGAAGCGGCGTTTCCTCTTCAGTTTGGCAGAATCTGCAGATACTTGTCGTGCATAGGCCTAGCTTAGCCATATGCTTGTTTAATTTGCAGTGTCCTGTGAGGGCCCTAGTCATCATGCATATGTTGTTTTTACTCAATAGCAGTAATCTATTGGAGTATTTGGTCGAGAAGCCCGATATTAGGTCTTTTGAATGTATTAATCCTGGCATTTCTTACCAGTGATTCAGTGCTTCTCGTTTGGTTATTAATTTGAGATGTCCCAGTTTTAGGCAACGAGGCACACCACAGAAGGGTTCGGGGCCCAGTTGGACGGTTTTTGCCCCTAACTTTGCCAGATGGTCGGCACAAACTCCCTAAGTCCATATAACTATCTACCTATAATTCATGGATCAGCATGGATACAGCGATTGTTCTTGGAAAGTATGTCCCAATACTTTCCAACAGTTCCTGACTCAAATGAGCGGCATCCAAGAAGTACGAGAACAAAGGAAGGCAGGAGGACGGTCACTCTAGTTTTAGTCGAACACAAATAAGTTAATTTTAGTATAAGACGAATCAATCGCGATTCCTAAAATGTAAGCTAGAATTAAATAAATTAATTTAATGAACTTTCTTTATTTTAAAAAATCACCGGCCGTCAGAACGTAATTAGTACTATTTTTATAAATACACACATAATACATAGAAAACACTTAGACTGATACAGTAAATCATACTTATGGATATAAGTTCGTATCGTGTGACGATTCGAACCCGCGACCATTAGAAGTAAAACGATCTGCTAAGCCACCGAGAAATAAACTATTGTCATTTACACTAAATACTTACTGAGTGTAAAGATAATTTTAAATGGAATATCATTCCATCTGAATATATTATTGTATATATATAAGGCAATCATCCTTAACAGTTCTATAAGTAACCACATCGTATAAAGTAAAGCCATCCAAATTGTATTCTGTAATGATAAACACATAATATTCATTTGATGTTATTCTGACTAATATAATAATAATCATCTCAGGACAATTCACACAGCGCCATCTAGACCCAAGTAAAGCTAGCTAAATCTTGTGTTATGGGTAACTAGATAACTGATACAAATACATAGATAATTTCTTTTTTTCCGTAAATACATACATATTATACATAGAAAACATCCAGACTGATACAAACAATCATACTCATGAATACAAATGTTTGTGCCGTGCGAGGAATCGAACCCGCGACCATCGGATGTAAAGCGGTGTGCTAGACCGCTATACGACCGAGGTCGGCGAAATAATATAATGTGAAGGTTTGTTGAGTATGTATGTTCATAACATTAATACTATGTTTAAAGACAAACTTGGTGTAACTAAGTATCGTTTAGAAAAAGTGAATAGATCTTTTATGGAAATGTGTGTAAAATATACAATAAGATATCAAAGGATATACTGAATTTTTTTATTTCAATAAATTTAAAACATCTGTTAAATCATATTTACTGAGCAAGGCCTATTACTCACTAAACGATTACTTGAATGACGAGTGTGCATGGCAATAGTTTTCATGTTCGGGATTTTCATTTAATGTTAGACATAGACACCAATATAAATGCATTGTAAATAAACTGGATTTAAAAAAAAAAGTAATTCAATTGAGTTTCTTGCCAGTTCTTCTCAATTGGATCTATATACCGAACTGGACGGTAGGGAAAAAAATTATAATGTAAAACTTGACGTTCATAAGCGGCTAAAATGTCCTACATGAATAAATGATTTTTGAATTTGAATTTAAATTTAAAAAAAAAGTAATTCTTGCCCATTCTTCTCAGTAGAATCTGTATACATGTACTGAAATGGTCTACATAATTTTTTTATTTAATTTATAATTCGTTTGTTACAATAATAATTAAAATAATATACTTACCTCCTTGAGCGATATATTGAAATTTTGCAAGTAGAGCGCCATATCCGATAGGCAAAATATGAATATAACATTCGTGGCTATATGTAGGAAAGCAATCTTCCAAAATTGGGATGCTGTTAATATTTTAAACCATACTATTGATGGCGGGCTGCCACTCATTATCTGTAAAGTAATTTACATTTATTTGTTATATAGGTGTACATGTATTATATAGAAAGTGTATCATGAATAATAATATTTATTTTGTAGTTGTGTTACATAATTAAGTTGTACATAAGAGTCAATAATTTTAACATACAAGTGTAATTGTGCCATCTGAACTAGTATAAAATTATACTATATCTCAGATGTCACATACCTTCCCAGGGTGCATATTATTTAATTTATTAACATTTACTTTTACACAGCACAAAATCATACATACTACTTAACATAATATTAGATATTCGATAAAAAAAAAAAGGAGGAAATAATAATAAGACATAAAGCCAGATAAATAATAAATAAATAAATAACTTATTATATGCCGATAACCACGTAATCAAACCATTTTATAGTATTTAAAGTATAATTTGTATTTTGTATTTACAGAATAAATATTATTATTATTATTATGTATTATATATAAACTTTCCTCTATAATCACTCTGTATAATAAAAAAAAAACCCGCATCAAAATTCGTTGCGTTGTTTTAAAGATCTATGCATTCATACAGGACAGACAGCGACAGTGACTTATTTTATACTATGTAATGATGAGATGAGATATTTTTATGATAAAACTAGCTGTTCCGGCAGACGTTGTTTTGTCATATAAATTAATAACGCTATAAAAAAATAGGGGTTGGTGATAGAAGGCTGAAAATTTAGGGTTGTATGTATTTTTAATGATATAATAAAAAAATATAAATAATAAATTTTGCCTAAAAAATAAAAATAATATGTTAGAGGTGGACAACCCTTATCACTTAGGGGTATGAAAAATAGATAGCAGCCGATTCTCAGACCTACTGAATATGCATATAAAATTTCATATAAATCAGTCAAGCCGTTTCAGAGAGTATGGTAACTAACATTGTGGCACGAGAATTTTATATAAAAGATGATAGTTAAAAAACAAAATATGCAGTTTAAATGAAAGATCAGTAAGACTAGCTGACGGTACTAGCACTAAAACTAAGTAAGCGCGTAGATTTAAAAAAGAAAGAAACTGCGAACAGGGATGAATGGAAGAGAAAAACATATTACGACGACCACAAATAAATGAGATAAGGAAGAAGCAGATGATGATAGTAAGAACAGGTAGTTATATGGTTATTAAACAGTAAATAAAATACATCTTAAATAAGATAATATTATATGACAATAGCTGTATCCGCGACTTCGTCCGCGTGGAACTTAACTTTATTTTTCTAAAATAAAAGTAGCCTAAGTTACTTCTTATTACATCGGCTACCTGCCAAAAGAAGTCCCTTCAAAATCGGTTCACCCATTTCAGAGATTAGCCGGAACAAACAGAAAGACAGACAAATTTTGGTGTAAGTACCGTATTTAAAGTCATATGCGTGTAGGAAAAAACGGTTATTTCAATATTACAAGCAGACACTCCAATTTTATTTATATGTATAGATTAGTAAGAGATTTGTAATCGTACACATAATTATTACTAACACAGCACTAATGAATAACTTTTGAGTGAAAATACACAAAGACTTCAAGGAGAATTCCTTCCTTTTTTAAAACGGTGTATAAAACATCAAGCTAATTAGTAATGTTCTAAAAGAACATAAATTAAAGAAACGAGAAATTTATACAAAACATGTGCAGACGTGTCTGGCTAAAATAACGACCTACAGTTACACACTAATTAGTAATTCACGTTACTCCGGTATTATGGAAAATAATTGAGTGTACATCACCGTCACTTTTAAGGCTTCAAAGTCACTTTAAGTCGATGATATTGCCTTGAAATGAAACGTTCCTTGATAAATTTTGCGTGCCCTGATCGCGCGCGATTTAGCGCAGGAAATCCAGCGCGCGCAATCGCGCAATATTATTTGTTCACCTTTTCGGGTGTGTTTGCGCGTATGATGTCATTTCACTTTATTTTAAAATGAGCTACCAAGAATTATAATTTAATTCGAATTTATCAGTCATCATCATCATCATCAGCCTATTGCTGTCCACTGCTGGACATTGGCCTCTCCCAAGGCATGCTACTAGGCCCGATCTTTAGCCCTTCTCATCCAGTTACTACGTAGCTACGTATGTCGTCGCTCCACCTAGCTGCGGAGCGTCCTATACTATGTTTGCCAATTCGCGGTCTCAGAACACTTCTGACCAGATCGTGGTAGTAGACTTCTTCTTCAACTTACAGATACGAAGAGCTATGTCATGTATGTTATTTATCAGTAACCTACAAAAATCTAAATACAAAGAATATGTTTTGGATACTGTTTTAATTGAATTTAATATAAAATAATTACATTAGTGCAGAGACCAACCAACAATTATTTATTTATGTACTATTTATACATCAGATATATTAAGAGAATCAAAATTCACATAGTAATAAGGTACAACAAGCGATCTTATCACTTATGCAATCTCTTCCGGACTACCTTTGGGTAGAGGAGAAAAAACAAAAACTGGACAATTATCTAAAATACTAGGTATCTTACCGTCACATTAACATTTTCCCTTCCTTTCTTCTCCATCTGTAGTTTCTCAATATTACTCATAGCTACAGCAATATATTCCTTCTCAGTATCACCTACTGCTTGATGTTTGTTTGGTGAGCTGGCTGTCAGTAGTACACATATGGTGCCCATTGAAAACGCCATCATTGCTAAACTGTAGTATATCAACTCCCATCCTAAACGGGCTTCAGATACTATACCAATGATAGGTAGTGCTACTATTATACCTACGAGTAAACCTGAAATTGAATAATGAACATTGCGATCAGGAAAAATTACAATAACAATTACGATGGTGACAAAATTAGTCGTCCCTAATTAGAACAAATTGCTAATCTCTCTCTCTCTGCCTAGCCTTTTCCCATTTCATTTTAGGTCGGCTCACTTAGCCCTTCTTCGCCAGGCACATCTATCCTTACTCGGCGAGTCATTTATTTTTCTTTTTTGATAACGGATTGCCAAGTTATTAGGGGTTTTCCTCGTCTCTTTGGGCCAGTATTAAAGTTAAAAAAATGCTGATAAGTGAAGGGAAAAAATATACTCTAGAAATATGATGGAATGGCAAGACTAGTATCCGTGTGAATTGTCCTGAGATATTATTATTGTTATTCATGGCTCATTTGAGAATATCCTCTATTGAATTCAACAATATGTGGTCTTTATTAGAACCATCTGCATCTATTAAACGAATCATCAATTTTTATATTTTATTTATATTTGAAGTTTCTCGTCCACTTAAGCTATTTTAGAACTTATGCAGATATCTCTTAACGCATTTTTATTACTAGTACTAATATTATAAACGCGATAGTTTGTCTGCGTGGATGGATGGATGGATGTTTGATGAATCTTGATAATAATATAGCTTATACACCAGAATATCGCTTTAATAAAGGCTTTAAATTTCACGCGAGAGAAATCGCGGGCACAGCTATTGCATAAATAAAGCAATTACCCAAATAAAGGATCCTGCTAAACAGGTTTCTTTCATCAGGCGGTAACCATTTACGAAGCAACGCCTGGTTGGCTGGGGATACCCATGCCTGGGACATACCCATGAATAGATGCATCCCAGATACAGCCAACACGCTTCCCTGAAAATGTCAAAAGTTCTTAAATTTATAATCCTCATGTTTTGCGGGGGGAAAGGAGTTGTTAGTAATGTAGACTCATGACCCTATTGTTAGCAATGTACCAAGTCAGATTGATCTCCACGCGGTTCCCACTGGAAACCATCGTGATAAATTCTTGATGAATTTGTCACGATGGGCTAACTGACCTGACCTCATACTCATTTTATCATCCGCCACTGGTGCCCCGCTAGCATTAATCGTTAGCGCAAGTGGCTGCACAATTCCATTATCATCCGTTAAAAAAAATATCATCCTGTCCTGTAGTCCACCGTTGAAGATAGTTAAGTTTCTCTTATTAAAACTGTTGACGTCGTGCTGAACGTAGTACCTAATACAACATTACCTAAAAGAAACTAAGGTTTAAAATCTTTCGCATTAAAGTTGTTTTCTTCGGTGTTTGGTTTATCTCCATTAACAAATGACTTTTTATATTCTGATATCTCTCTCTATTACCAAATTATATTTTGACTGACGACAAGAACAATTTTTTTGACAAAGTTTTTTGCTATGTTAAGATAAACATGTTCAACATAAAAATGAAAAGAATACGAGCTGAGTTTTTTGTCAGTTTTCTCTTTTCGAAATTATTCCTGACGATAGATTTGATATATAATACACAAATATATTATAATATATTACACAAAGAAACACTACTAACTAGGGCCAGGAAGGGAAACCGAGAGGAACAATAGAAAGAAGTGACAATTTAGAATGTAGTAGAATATTGTATTTGAAGTATAAATCTCATGAATTTAATATATATTTACTCAATAATATATTTGAATTTAGAATTTAAAAATTTATGGGTCAGAAAAACTCGCGTGCGGAATTTTTAGTTCCGGCATTAAATCATGACTCTCTAACACTGAAACTAATGGCAATTACATTGGCATCCCACAAAGATGTTGGACGATATAATATAAAAAACTGTATAGAAAATAAACACAATTTCTTTTATTCAATGTTTTACCTCTATTTCCCATAACTGACCTTATTTATTACGGTCGGCATGGCGACACATAATCCACCGTTCAATAGCAGACTCACAGCCTGCGTGTACTTCCCTCCGATCCTCTTCAGGAACAATTCTCCAGGCACAAGCATTATTGCGTATCCCATAAAAAAGGAATATAATATCACCCCTTGTGTTTTCCTATCCCAATTTTTGATCTGCAATATATTATCGGTGAATAATCTTATCCACGGATCCCCAAGGGTGTACTTTGATTAGGGTAGTTAAATAAATTAAACTTCGGAAACATTTCCACAGTGGTTGTTATAATATTTATATTAATAATTATTAAAAGACTATATGTGTTCCAAAAAAAATCTAAATAGCGTGATGTAGAAAAAAGTATAAAAACTAAACAACGCCATCTAGTGGCACACTTAGGAAATAAAACAAACGTAATCTCGTTCGATTGTACAATTGGGCTTATGAAGACGTTCACAATGTGATTGTGAAACGTATTATTTACATATTAAAGAGCTGCAACTATATATATAATTACTAGCTGTTCCCACGAATTCGTCCGCCTGGAAAAGTAACTTTGAGTAAATAAAGAAAAAATAATTAATAATCTAACCCAAAAAAGCCGAAGAAAAGGTCTCATCATTCTAGCTTCAAAAATGACGAATTACCATACAAATTTTTGCCTCCTATTTTACCCTATTGAGGGAAAGAATTTTACAAACTTTGAATGTAATATTTCTTGATATTTAACAGCCTAAAAAAATTTTTACATGCTTTTAGCTTTAAAAATGATGATACTTCCATATAACTTTGCAGTTCGCATTTCAACTTACAACCCCTTTTTTATATTAAAAAATAAGTTTAAGGGTATAAACTATCTATGCACCAAATTTTATTTGAATTGATAAAAAAATTTATGAATATCCTTCAATTCTTGTTGCTTACGGGAATCAACAAGAATTGAAGGATATTCATAAATTTCTTATTTCTGTCTAGAGAGACAGAGAGTTCATTTCATTTCATCAGTAGTTTTGGTGTAAAAGAGAAACGAGACCGCTTTCACACCAAAACTACTGAATCAATTTAAATAAAATTTGGTGCATAGATAGTTTATACCCTTAAACTTAAACGAACTGCAAAGTTATATGGAAGTATCATCAGATACTTCCATATAACTTTGCAGTTCGCATTTCAACTTACAACCCCTTTTTTATATTAAAAAATAAGTTTAAGGGTATAAACTATTTTAAAGCTAAAAGCATGTAAAAACTTTTAGGTAGCGAACTTTGAAAAAGGGCGAGCACAATATGTAGCTTGCAATGCTACAGATCTTAACACTTGACAATAACTCGAAACACCCAATAAAAAAAATATACATAATAATAATCTCAGGACAATTCACACAGCGCCATCTAGACCCAAGTTAAGCTAAAGCTTATGTTCTGAGTGCTAGATAACTAATATGACTACATAGATTTTTTCGTAAACCGACTAAACAATCGAGACCGTCAGAAACAATCATACCCTGGAATACAAATGTTTGCGCTATACGAGGAATCGAACCTGCGACGAAGTAAGGCGATGTACTACACCGCTGGACCACCGAGGTCGTCATAAAGATTATTTTAAACTCTAACCTGTATGTAGGTATCGTTGAGTCGTGAGGTATCAGTAACCGCAAGCATGGCAACACTGGGACTAACACGCAGAGCGCCCATTGCGGCGCACATCAGAAACATGTACAGCAGCTGCAGATGGCGAATGCCTAGTCTAAATTCTGAAACAAAATTTGAAATTTGAATACAAAAATTGTAATTGGACCCACTGTATGACTAGGCCAGTAAAATTTTAAATTAAACCACAATGTGACCAGTTTTGGCGCAATATATAAAAATAAGTGCGGACTACCTCGGTGGTCTAGCGGTCTAGCACACCGCTTTACGTCCGATGGTCGCGGGTTCGATTCCTCGCACGGGACAAACATGAGTATGATTGTTCGTATCGGTCTAGTTATTTTCTATGTATAACATGTATGTATTTACGGGAAAAAATTATCTATGTATTTTTGTATCAGTTGTTTAGTACCCATAACACAAGTTTTAGCTAGCTTAACTTGGATCTAGATGGCGCTGTGTGAATTGTCCTGAGATTATTATCATTATTATCTGTTTTTCACAGCTTAAGCTGGTGATTAGTACCATGGACGGGACATGCTAAGTCTCTCGTTACTTTGTTTTGCTTGATGGTTTATTCTGTGGCATTTAGGAAGCATTATTATATATATATATATATATATATATATATATATATATATATATATATATATATATATATATATATATATATATTCATTATATCTCCAAGTTTTTATTACGGGGAAGTAATATATTCAAACACGCGGTGTTAGCCAAGCATGGATGAGTTATGTGATGAAGATAGAAATTTTCTGACTATTCGGCATGTGTTTAGTATGACGGCTTTTTGTAATAGGTCTGTTGTAGATCAGGGGATACGCAACGTTTCTAGGTGTTTGTAAAAGATTTGTGTGTATAATTCCTGTGGATGACAAAACTATGGGTACTATGTGGATGGTGTGTGCTTTCCATTGTTTTTTTAATTCTATTGCTAGATCTGTGTACTTTGTTAGTTTTTCGTTGAATGTGCTTTACATTATTATTATTATTATTAGAACCACAAGATTACAAAATTAAAGAAAAGGAGAATACAACATATTTTTCTTAGATTCAAATTAGATGTTTTTTTTATATTCAAATGTCTTGTAAAATATTTTCTTTGTAAAAAAGCTTATTATAAAATTGAAGAATTTATAAATGATAATAATGTTTTTGTAGAAAATATCTAACTTAAAATTCATACCGTTGACAATGTTATTTGATTGAACAAACATTTAGTGCGTAGCGGTTTCTATGTTGACTGTTGCATGCCTGATTCTTGTTAATATGAATATAATTAAATCAATATTTATTTAAAAGAGCAACACACAAGTTTCGGGCTCACTCTTCTTGTGATGAGTCTGTATTCCGAATGAGCGGTAGAGACAGAAAACTTGACTATTCAAAAGTGTTCATCTTTAGTTTATATGAATAAAGATTATTTCTATTTATATTGGAAGTTAGTTAGCTAGGTAATCGCTCGCGTTAACTTATACCCTTAGGGGTGTAATTTATCAAAATCCTTTCTTAGGGGATGTCTACGTCATAGTAGCTTTATGCATGCAAAGTCTCAGCCCGATCAATTTAAAATTGACAAAGTTTCATACAAACTTTCATCCCATATTTTATCCCTTTGGGGGTAGAATTCATCAAAATCCTATATAATCTTAGCGGATACCTACGTCATACATCTACCTGCATGCCAAATTTCAGCTCGATCCGTCCAGTGGTTTGGGCTGTGCGCTGATAGATCACTATGTCAGTCACCTTTGAGTTATATATATTTAGATTTATTAGACGCAGATATTTAGTATATGTGATGTAAATACGTAAACAATAATATTCCGTAATAAATTTTGATTTAAGTTGGCGGGAAAGGGATGGAAAAAATAAAAAAAGGGTTAAAAAAAAAGTTATGTTTATAAAAAAACTTTACCCATAATTTCATGAACAGTAATTTGTAAAATAACTTTCAACTAATATAAAATAGGATTATATCAGCAACAGGCTTTGGAAACTGTAATCTTGTTTTGTGTCATATAAATAAAATTGGATTATTTGTTTGTAATATTGACAAAAATCGTTATATTTGTCTCTATTAAAACTCCATCATATACCAATAAAAGAATCTATAGTTACTACACATACACAACGGGTCCACGATACTAGACGATCACAAATTATTATTTATATGGCCATATGATTAAAGATTGAGTGTTTTTCTGCATGTATGATAAATATTATGGTAGGGGGGGATAGTTACAATTATAAATACAGCACATATACCAAAATAACATTTTCAAAATGTTTCGTCCGTCTGTCTGTCTGTTTGTTCCGGCTAATCTCTGAAATGGCTGGACCGATTTTGACGATACTTTTTTTGGCAGGCAGCTGATGTAATAAGGTGTAACTTAGGCTTATTTTGTTTTAGAAAAAATCCTTCATTTTAGAAAAATATAGTTAAATTCCACGCGGACGAAGTCGCGGGAGCAGCTAGTAATAAATATACTATACTATATAATATACTTACTGAAGTTCTTTCCAAGCATCCTACGAGGTATATCTTCATCTTGATATTTAATGAATTCCAAGTCCATTCTCGTGGGTTGCTCTCAATTAAATACAATTTTTGAGTAGGCTCAGGTATAGCATAACAACGTAGATACTCGAAAATGTAATAACTGAAAGTAAATAAAGTAACAAAAGAAAATAATTACATAATCTAAGTATATATAACTTAAAGGTGACTGACATAGTGATCTATCAACGCACAGCCCAAACCACTGGACGGATCGGGCTGAAATTTGGCATGCAGGTATATGTTATGACGTAGGCATTCACTAAGAAAGGATTAAATCTACCTCCAAGGGAATAAAATAGGGGATGAAAGTTTGTATGAAACTTTGTCAATTTTAAACCGTTCGGGTTGAGATTTTGCATGCATAAAGCTACGATGACGTAGGCATCCCCTAAGAAAGGATTTTGATAAATTCCACCCCTAAGTGGATTTACGTATAAATTTTGTATCCCAAGTAAATACATCTGTATTTACTTGGGATATCTTAGAGATAAGTCTAGACACTTTAGAATGGAGTTTTTCAGTAATAACATTAAGTTTCCCAACTTGAATTTAAATAAATCTGTATTATTGGAAATATGTACAACATTTATTTAAAACAAAATTGAGCCGAGTTTCTTGTCAGTTCTTCTCATCTCGAAAGCGTTCCGAACTGACGGTAGATTTGATATATCATAAGAGTCTGTAATAGACCTATATGAATAAAGATATTTTGAATTTGAATTGAGTTGGTAACGCATACTCTGAATATTATATAGGCTATTGTAAATAGTTACCTACAGAACCTGATGTTTAAAACCATTTTTGTATTTAACATCTACCTGCATGCCAAATTTCAGCCCGATCCTTCCAGTGCTTTGAGCTGTGCGTTGATAGATCACTATGTCAGTCACCTTTAAGTTATATATGTTTAGATATTAGTAAGATTCATCTTATTATTTACATCATTCTAGGTATATTATGTATGTATTTACTAAAAAAAACTAAGTATTTATATCAGTTATCTAGTACCTATAACACAAGCTCTGCTTACCTTGGGACTAGATGACGTTGTATGAATTCTCTAGGGGTATTTATATTATTCTATAACACACCATAACTTTATATAAATAACTGTATATCTATATCTTCATATAATTTCTCTAGTATTAAAAAAAAACATGTAATATATTGCAAAATTGTTATGATATTCTTAATACACTGAAATAGTTATTCATCAGAGAATGTTTAGACAAAAACTGATGTATGTACCTGAATCTTTTCAAATAACATAATTATCTTATATAAATATCACTATCTGCGTATCTGTAAAGAAATGTACATGAAACATGAATGTAATATTGTACTTGATTTTAAATCTTTTGTTGATATATATAATATCTATTTTTATATAATCGTATCTTTGTTATATTATACACTCACGAGCAACCAAATAGACTCAAGCGCTACCTCTACATTCAAACATTGTTCTAAACAAAGTATCCCATTAAAAACATAAATGTGAAATGATAGCCAAGTTCAATATTATGATATATGCCTTGATTGTTGACTTCAACGATAAAAGAAGTGAGATCTAATAACCGTTTGAAAAGTGTTTATGGAATTTGGAACACATATTTATCTCGAAAGTTTCAATATATGTACCAAATTTGACAGGTTTATATGAAAAAGTGTTTGAGTTATGAGGGGGTCAAAAGTGGTTCCAAATGGTTCGTGTAAAACTACACACGGTGCTGCTCGCCAGTTCTCTTACTTGAACGTGGCTTTGACACGCTCCCGCGAGTCTAGATACATTTAAATAAAAGTAATACATCATTAACCTAAGATTTAACAAAACATCTACACCATTTAATAAAACAAGTACTGACATGTTCATTTGCGCAATTAGAGCGTATGCGACAAATTACTCACTGCGTTACCTGCGAGTTACGCTACCCTGTACCCCTAAAAACCCCCGTGACCCTTCAACCCTTATACGGCAGTTAACCTCCTCATGGGTCCACCCGTTCCGGCCCGACCACACTTTTACACACAAACACGACACCGTCCTCGCCAGCGAACACGACGATCCCAAACACACCATATCGCGCATTCTACCGGGCGTTTACGCGCTCCCTGGCGCTCCACACCGGTGGCCCCGGTCGCCCCTCCAATCGATATTACGACGGCCTGAGCCGAAGTTCGAACCGTTAGCGGTGCCCTCAGACTAAAGTCGTATCCGTCAGGCAGGAGTTGGCCTTCAGCTGCTCCATACGGGTTTGGAGTGCCATCTACACTAGCGTGATCGTGATCGCGGTGAAGTTGTAAAGGCCAGCTGCGGCCATTAGAGTAGTCCGAAAAAAACTCAACCCTTATCAGTCGCTTATCAACAGTAGACCGCAACCTACATTATTGTTTTCAAGAAACCACACCTTATGAAACCGCTCAACTTGTTGCCTTATTGCAAAATGAATGTCCTCTACAGTGTACATGAGCTATTTGTTTGCTCGCGAGTGTAGTATAAATGATTACTTTAATGGTAATTATAAAGGAATTTTCCTATAGGTAAAAGAGCAGAATATCCTGACAAATACAGTAACTCTCTTTCTTACGGTTGTCTGTAAGAGATTGCGTTAGCGATAAGTCTTCGGAACCTTCTTTCTTATATATTTAAATATAATATATAACTCAAAGGTGACTGACATAGTGATCTATCAATGCACAGTCCAAACCACTTGACAGGGCTGACGGACAATCGGGCTGAAATTTGGCATGCAGATAGTTGTTATGATGTAGGCATCCGCTAAGAAAGGATTTTGATTAATTCTATCCCCTAGGGGATAAAATAGGGGATGAAAGTTTGTATGAAACTTTGTCAATTTTAAACCGATCGGGCTGAGACTTTGCATGCATAAAGCTATTATGACGTAGGCATCCCCTAAGAAAGGAAACAAAAGTAAAGCCACAAAAACTATACCTAATTAATAATAATACTTTTTAATGCGAGCGAAGCCGCGGGCAATAGTTATATATATATTATGTATCTGCTTTTAATATTGTTTTTTTTTTCGGACTACTCTAATGCTGTTGGGCGCAGCTGGCATTTACAGCTTCACCGGACGTTAGGGGGCGAGTGCAGATGGCACTCCAAACCCGCGGAAGGACTTATGGAGCAGCTGAAGGCCAACTCCTGCCTGACGGATACGACTTTAGTCTGAGGGCACCACTAGGGGTTCGAACCTCGGCTCAGACCGTCGTAATTTCAATCCCCGTTTGAATTGGACGGGGGATCGATCGGAGAGGGGGACGGGGGATCGATCGGAGGGGTTTAATATTGGTGCAATAAAGAATTATAAATAAAATAAATAAATAAATAAAGGTGGGAATAGATTGGTAGTAGTAGAAACTTATTAATAAATAGAACTAATCTTCATTCAAATAAACTCAATATAAGCACTTTTGAATATTCACATATTTTTATTCCACCACTCATTCAGAACGTAGACTCATCACATGAAGAATAAGCAAAGAACTGTTGCTAGAATAGAAAAGAAATGTTGCTCTTATATATAAATGTTGTTCTAACACAGAAACTGTATAACACTTAATCTTTATTCAATCAGATAACATTGTCAGCGCTATGAATTTTAAATTAGATTTTTCTACAAAATCATTATTATCATTTATAAACTCTTTAATTTTATAATAAGCTTTTTACGAAGAAAATCTTATTAATATTATAAACTTGCTACTCGCCCAGGCTTCGCACGGGTGTACATGTATTATATATATAAACCTTCCTCTTGAATCACTCTTTTAAAAAAACCGCTTCAAAATCCGTTGCGTAGTTTTAAAGATTTAAGCATACATAGGGACAGACAGCGACAGTGACTTTGTTTTGTACTATGTAATGATTCATTATTCTTTTGATAGTTAGCAACTGTATAATAATATATTATACTATTGTAAACTACATGTTTTCATCATGTAGACACCCATACAGTCCACCACAAATTTGCATTCGATTCAGTAGTTTAGGAGTCCATCGCGGACAAACAACGTGACACGTTATCTATACATATTAATAAAATTGGAGTGTCTGTTTGTAATATTGAAATAACCGTTTTTTACTGCATGCATATGAATATAAATACGGAACATACACCAAAAAACCACTTATTAAAATTTTTGTCTGTCTGTCTGTCGTTCTGTTTGTTCCGGCTAATCTCTGAAACGGCTGAACAGATATTAACGGGACTTTTTTTGGCAGGTAGCTGATGTAATAATTAGTAACTTAGGCTACGTTTATTTTAGAAACACTATTGTATTTTAGAAAAATGAAGTATAATTCCACGCGGACGAAGTCGCGGGTACAGCTAGTTTTTATATATCAATATATTCGGCTTAGATACCTCTAACTATTATAAAATTATTCCCAGACAGTAAATGGTATAAATAAAATATGGGATTCATTAATAAAAATCACAAGTTCAGACATCAAATTACATTTTAATCTTATTAGATATATCTTCTTTTTGATCTTGCATAGTCAAAGCTTTAGTTTCCTCTGTAAAGAAGAAAAAATATTATTATTACATCAGATGAAGCTTTTGAAGCTAGAATAATTTTTTTTTGGGTTAGATTATTAAATACTCTATGCTATGCTAGGTCAGTATTCCACGCGGATGAAGTCGCGGGCACAGCCTATAAGCTACACGTGAAGCTACATTTGACGACCTCGGTGGTCTATGCTAGGTGGTCGTATTCCACGCACAAATATTTGTATTCATGGATGATTGTTTGTATCGGTCTGGATATTTTCTATGTATAATATGTATGTATTTACGAAAAAAAATATATCTATATATTTGTATCAAGCCCATAACACAAGTCTTACAGCTGTGTAAATTGTCCTGAGATTATTATTATTATTATTATTATTACACGTCTTACAGCTTACTAGCTGTGCTTTGAAATTAATGAAGTCACAGCTTCATTAATTTCCACACAAACTTCCAACTTCTATTTTATTTTACCCCCTTAAGGGTAATTTTTACAAACTTTGAATGTCATATATATTTATATTTAATCAACAGTTTTTACCTTTAAAAATGACGATACTTCCATGAAACCTTTCGTCTCCTCTTTCAATCCACTACAACCTTTTTCATCACTAAAAAGTAGCTTATGTTCTTCCTTAGAATCCAGATTATCTGTGTACTAAATTTCATTTAAATCAGTTCAGTAGTTTTGGCGTTTAAACGTGACAGATAAACAGACAAATACAGTTACTTTCGCATTTAAAATATAATATTATAGTAAGTATTAAGCATTGGTTTTAAAGAGACTGAATAGAATAAGTATTTTTTTATAGTATAGGAACCAACAAGCTTGCGGTTCGCCTGATGGTAAGTGATTACCGCCATGAGCACGCGCAATTTAAGAGAAATTTCAGTGCATTGCTGGCCTTTCAAAAAGAAATGAGTTCTTATTTTGTATTATTGCCAGTGATGACTTACGGAACAGAGACGTGGTCGCTAACTATGGGCCCCATCAATAAGCTCAGAGTCACTCAGAGGGCAATGGAGAGGGCTATGCTCGGAGTTACTCTGCGTGATCGAATCATGAGCACGCCGACATAGCCCGAAGAATTGCGACAAGTGGCAATGGGCAACATAGCTCGTAGGACAGATGGTCGTTGGGGCATTATGGCGACCACGGACCGGAAGACGCAGCGTGGGAAGGCCTCCAGGGTGGACCGACGATCTGGTCAAAAAAAGCAGCGCAGGACCGATCGTCGTGGAGATGAGTCCAACAGTCTTATTTGATGATGATGATGATTATTTTCAATATCGTATCGTTTCACAAACAAAAAATAAGATTCTACATTATGTTTTTTAAGGGATGATACTTTTATCATGATCGGGGTACATTAGCATTATCATGAGGAATGATCGGGGAAAAATGTTGAGGCACTTGATACGATACGACGAACTAATTAACAACATTATAGAAGGAAAAATAGATGGAAACAGAGGAAGGGAAAGACCAAGACACAGCTATATCAAGCAAGTTAAAGAAAAAGTTGGAGTCGTGTCGAATCAACAGCTAAAAGGACTGATGGAAGATCGTGGAAGGTGGCGGGAGCTCCACCGACTAACGGTTTACGCTGGCGGGGAACCAGTGGAGAATGATAAAATGAGCATGAAGTCAGATCACTTAGCCAATCATGACAAATTCACTAGGACTTTCATGATGGTTTCCAGGGTAACCGAGTGGAGGTCAACCTGATATGGTGTATTGCTAGCAATGAGGTTATATAGGGGCCGTCCTCCCTATACAAGACCGAGAGCTGCGCAGTACGAGACGTCTTTGTCTGGTAACCCTTCCTCATTCTGCTAACTTCTTTTCCCAATCCTTCACTGTCCAGGCTATTCGTCTTTGGAACTCCTTGCACTTTCTATCAGATCTGCTCAATCCATTCCATTTAAAAAAAACTAGTCACATCTCACTTTCTCTCCAATTAAAAATCTTTCTGTAATGTTTTGTTTTGTTATACATGTTTTTTTTATTTTATTTATGTATGTGTATTTAGCAGGGATGTTATGGATATGAAATTTCGGATACGGATAGGTTTCAGATATAGGAATAATTATTATATCGGATACGAATACGGATGCGGATATTATATTATTTCGTATCATCCGTTAGTTTCGGATAATTTCGGTTACGGATATTATTATTTAAGGTACAAAAGTAAAATATAAATAGCTAATAAAATGGTTACATAATGTGTCTCAATTTGGCTCCGCCCCTGTCTGATATTATCCGAAACTTTTATTTCGGATTCAGTTACGGTTACGGATATTTTTTATATCGGATATCCGATAGTTTCGGTTACGGTTACGGAGCTCCTTAACATCCCTGGTATTTCTTCTTCTCTTCTTCATATAATATTTAACTCTCTTTTTATAACCAACTACCTTTTCCTTACCCAACACATGTATCTCCCTGCTTGTCTGTAAGAGATCGCTTTGAGCGATAGGGCCACCTCTTGTTCGCATCTTTTTCTTTCTGTCTATTTTGTAATTATTTTTTCTTTTTTAATTTAGTTTTACTATTATTTACACTATTGTCGCATTTTCTCAGCTTTTACTGGTTTTTTTTCCACACTTACGGGCAGCCAAGCAAGTGCAGTGCATTGGCGTGCAAGTGTGTGTTTGTGCATGTGTGTGCACCTATGAGTGTGTGTGTACTTATTGTGTAACTGGTGTTATGTTATTATTATTATTATTACGTTACTGTCGCATTTTCTCAGCTTTTTCACACTTACGGGCCGAAACCAAGTAAGTGTAGTGTATGTGTGCTCGTATGCATATGTGTGTGTGTATGTGTGTGTGTATGGGCCGAAACCAAGTGTATGTGTGTATGTGTGTGTGCGCGTGTATGTATGCGTGAGTGTGTGTGTACTTATTGTGTGCCTGGTGTGACTGGTGTTATATCATTTTCATCGATTTCGATGATATTATTACTATTATTATTATTATTACATGTTACATGTTAGTAAATACTAACCTGAGGTAGCTCTCTGTTTATCTAAATAATTAGGATCATCCCACTTTTGCCGCTCGGTAGTACCAAATATCAGGTAGTACACATTAGTGGCTGAACACAGAACTGCATTTGATAGAAAAATAATACGCCATCGGCTTACATCTGTCTGCAAATAATGAAGAAACCCAATTAAATATCAATCGAACACGTCGGTGGTCTAGTGGTTTCACATCGCTTTACCTCCGATGGTTGCGGCTTCGATTCCTCGCACGGTAAGAAAGACAAGCAATTTATAGTCAATTAATGACATGCAATTAAACAAAAATATACATTTTACTTATATCACACATATTCTATTGTTATTTATTGAATAATCTGTATTATATATTATTTGTAACTAGCTGTACCCGCGACTTCGTCCGCGTGGAATTTAACTTTATCTTTCTAAAATAAAAGTAGCCTAAGTTACTCCTTATTACATCAGCTTCCTGTCAATAAAAGTCCCGTCACAATCGGACCAGCCATTTAAGAGATTAACCGGAAAAACCAGACAAACAAAAATTGTATAATTTTTTTTGTTGTTGTAAGTACCATATTTATAGCTACTCCTTATTACATCAGCTACCCGCTAAAAACAGTCCCGTCAAAATCGGTCCACCCATTTCAGAGATTAACAGGAAAAACCAGACAGAAACAAAATTGTAACAAAAAATATTTTGGTATATTTATACTCACTCATATACATGTAGTAAAAAACGATTATTTCAATATTACAAACAGACACTCCAGTATTATTTTTATGTATAGATGAAGCCTGTATGTGTGTACTAAGATAAAAATAAAAATGATTATGTTATCTATCTATCTACTTAACCAAATACGTTACTTATAAATAGAAGTCCACATTCAATTAAGATATTATATAGAATACAGATAATTAAGTAGTGATATTAATTACAGAATCTTTTCCCGGAGATATATTTAATAGATATATAAGATATATATAGTTAATTAACAAGTAAGGATTACTCACAGAGTCTTTTCCTATAATTGCGCTAGCCGCGAGAGTCATTGACACCGCTATTATGTTGGAAATGAAGTTGGATACCGACATTAATATTCCTGCATTGTTCGGTGACAAATCCAGTTGGTTAATCTGAAAAAAAAAATAGACCATATTCATTAACTGAATTTAACTTTATTTTACTAAAATAAAAGTAGCCCACGTTACTCCTTATTACATCACCTACCTACCAAAAAAGTCCCGTTAAAATCGGTCCAGTCATTTCAGAGATTAGCCGGAACAAACAGACAGACAGACAAAAATGTCTTTATTCATGTAGGTCCTTCCCTATAGGTGATCAAATTCCAACCGTTATTGGATCCATCACCCACATTGCTACCGTGTTTCGCCTCTAAACATCATTAAACTTTACCATCAGATGATACCAGATGGTAAAGTTGATGATGTTTAGAGAATACCAAGCGCAATCCCATTATGAATAATAAAAAAAAAACAATGAATAGAGTTCAGATATAGCACCAACCTACATCACATGACTATTCTGTCGAGTCTGATTGCAGGTAAGGTCGTAACTCTTCCAAAATAAAATGAAAATATCTTTATTCATGTAGATCTATTACAGACTCTTATGACATGTCAAATCTACCGTCAGTTCGGAGTGTTTTCGAACCAAGAGACTCAACTTTTATTCTTTTCAAATGAACTTCCAGTAGATTACACACTAAGTGTTTATGAATTATCTGATGGCAGCAATTATACCAGTATCCTGCAGCTATCAGTCTGACTAACCCTCAAAAATCAAGAATAGACCTTACTATAAATCCAGCTGTAGTGAATCCACCTAACGTCATTGCGCCAATGAGAGTTATGACAGCAAACATCCTATATTCCTTCCCCAGGAATGATAATATCACCAGACCAGAAGACACTCCGAATAAACCTGAAAAAAAATTAGTTTCCTTACTGGGAGAGAAAGAAGTAAGCCGATAACGAATTAGAAATATTACATACATTTACTCTCCCGACAGTTTATATCTATTACTAGTTATAATAGGCTAAAACGAGACGAGAGTATGTTGGTAAAAGATGGAGGAGATCTTCACACAAAGAGGGGTCCATATCCACAAATAGTATAATTGTAATACTAACAAGTAGATCATAAGAAATAAATATATTAACTTTTTTTTTATTTGTACAAAGTTCTGGATGGATATAGAAATAAATGACTTTATTATTATTATTATTATTCTGTTTTTCACAGCTTAAGCTGGTGATTAGTACCATGGACGGGACTTGCCAAGTCTCTCGTTACTTTATTTTGCTTGATATTTATTCTGTGGTTAAATACCACAGAATAAATACCAAGGAGAGGAGATGGAAATCCGTCCCTTCCTAAAGGAAGCGACGGACTGTTGCACTATTATTATTATTATTATTATTCTCTCTATCATCTCAGTCTCTCTCTTATTATTATTTTTTTTTTCCAAAAATTCTCATCGCCCCTCTTAAGGAGAGGAGATGGAAACATACCCCCGGCAGAAATACAGTCGGCCGGGGTTCAGGGCCCCAGGGAGAGAAACCGGCGTACAATGCGGGCAGAATCTAACAGCACCGCTTTTTGCATCTTTCCCGGGAGTGAGCCGCCTCGGAATCCCAACCGTCTGAGATGTTGTTCCAGACTGGTTAGGATAAGACCGTTCACCTACATACATAACGATTGGAATGATTTCGATGGACATCACCCCCCACTTTTCGGTCACCTCGTGAGCCAGGTCGAGATATTTTCTCTTTTTCTCAGTTTCGGCTCTCACGAGGTTCTCGTCATGCGGTATGGTGATGTCCACCAAAAACACCCTCGAGAGTGCCCGATCCATCACCACGATATCAGGTTTGTTCGCAAAAACGGTCCTGTCCGTGATGATGGATCGATCCCAGTAGAGCCTGACGCTGTCGCTTTCGAGGACCGGATGGGGCTCGTACTTATAGTACGGCAACCTGTCATTCGCGAGGCCGTACTTCAGAGCAAGTGTTATTATTATACTAGTCCATACAATAAGAATGAATTCTAAAATATTTGAAATAGAAAAGTCTGCAATTCAGTCATTTATACGCCTTAACGCCTTAAAATCTGTTGCCTAGTTTAAATGATCTACGCGAATATCCAGCGAAAGCGACTTCATTTCATACTATCTAAAGATAGAGTTGTCAGAGATACCGCTGGACGATCATCGACTGACATTCAATCTCGTAACTCCGGCAAAAGGCGGTTCGGGGTACCTTGAAATTTTTAGTGAGTAAGAGTCTCACAGTATCCTGCCTCCCCCGGGCGGGTGGGTCTCCATGAGGGATTACCTCAACGTTAAAAAAAAGGGTAGTCAGAGACAGTGTCAACTACCAATATTAAGGTTAACACAACACTTGATTAGTAGTAAGATACGATGGGACTGGCATTATCATATTATTATAAAAGTCCCTAAACAAATGTAAGAATAAAAAAAAACACTTGACATACCAGATATCGCTTGGTACATTTATAACAAACGTAATTGAATAACAGAGGAAATTTAAACAAATTAAAATCATACTGCCTTACCAATAGAATTGAAAGTCTTTCTACACACGTTTCTAGATAAAATATTTCTATTACAAAGTTTCTCTGATACAATCGCAGCGATCAAACTTGCAGCCCACATGCCCGCGTACGGTAGTGCAGACAAAAATGAACTCTGTATAAAAGCGAAATAAGGACATTTAATGAATGTACATACAATAGAACAAAGAACCATAGAGTAGTAGTAAAATGATGAAATATTTTGTTTAATATTTAATCTTATCATTCTGACTAAATATTTTGTTGTTTTGTTATGTGTATTACAGTTTCTCATAAATTACGAGGATGACGCTCTCAGCTTATCAAATAAATACAAATTAACATAATCTTTGTATGTATCTATAACAGTGTAGGTGAACCTTTATGCATCAACGTGCCATTTTTTCCAAAAAATATTTAATTAGGTCATTGACGTGCCATCAAATAATTTTGACTTTCTGATTATTTAGAAAATAATAATAATAAATACTATCAAAACTCTCTATGAAATAAAGTAAACAAAAGAGGTACATTTTGGATTGTTTTCATTACACGCATAAATTAAATTACTGTAAAATTAGTGTGACTTCTGTCGCTGCAGGTTAGATGACAAATAATTTATGTCAGGCTTGTACGATGTTACTTTTAGCAAAATTCATGCTGAACTGGATTCATCTGTCAAACGGTTTCTAACCGAGTTTTTAATGTTATTCATTTCTGAAAATAATGACTCGCAGGTATAGGTAGGTGGAAATATTGTTAAAATAGCATGAGCCAGCTTCTTCAAACAGTTTTATGATCGACGACGTGCTGAAAATATTGTGTCGCGTGCCATTTGTTCGCCTACCCTGATCTATAACATACATGTTAATTTTTTTTATGGTTGATAATGGAATGGTGCGCTCGTCTACGCTAATGGTTTACGCTGGCAGGACACCAGCGGTCACCAGCGGTCGTCCGCTGGTGTCCTGAAGAGATGAATAAGATGAGCATGAAGTCAGGTCAGTTAACTCCTCGTGAGAAATTCACGAAGAATTTCTCCGGGAATGATTTCCAGGGGTTACCGCATGGAGGTAAACCTCATATGTTTACCAAGTCGACTCCATATTTTGTACAGACAACATTGACATTTTTTTGTTTTTCTTACTAACATAGATACAAAAACCAATCAAACTCTAATAAGATTACTCTATAGCAACACAGATTATAAATTGTACCTTATTAATATTATAAACGCGAAAGTTTGTGAGTATGGATGTTTGTTACTCACGCAAAAACTGCTGAACAGATTTTAATGACACTTTACAGTAATATAGCTTATACATTAAAATAACATAGTGGCTATAAATTTCGCGCGGGTAAAACCGCGACCACAGCTTGTATTTGGTAATTTCAAAATCATTCATCGCATCATTTCAAGTGATATGAAAAATAATAATAATCTCAGGACAATTCACACAGCGCCATCTACACCCAAGTTAAGCTAGCTATAGCTAGTGTTATGGGTACTAGACAACTGATACATATACATAGATATTTTTCGTAAATAAAATACTGTAATTTTTCATAACTTTCGATAGCCTCAGTGGTTAAGTGGTTTAACATACTGCATTATTTCTAATGGTCGCGGGTTCGATTCCTCACGGGGTACAAACATTTTTATTTATGAGTATGATTATTATCATCGGTCTGTGTTTTCTATACATGTATATTATGTATGTATTTACAATAAAAATCTAAGTATTTACTTATATAAGTTTTCTAGTAACCCATACATATTTTACATAAAAAACATCCGATAGAAACAATCATACTCATAAATACAAAAGTTTGTGCCGTGCGAGGAATCGAACCCACGATTATCGGACCTAGACCGCTAGACCGCCGAGGACGTCAACCACAAATAACAAATAATGATCAAAAATAGGACTTACATTTTTCAAAGATATGCCCAGAGCACTTTCCATATACATGGGCATGTCTACAAAGATAATCATAAAAGCGGACGCAAAACCGAGATGTGGTAACAAAGTGGCCAACAGTGGGCCTGATGTTAATATCATCCTCCACGGAATCCGCACATTGCTCTGAAAAAAAAATGATAATTTGAAATGCAGTCTTTTTTTTATAACACAGGTGACAAACGAGCATGCGGCTCACCTGATGGTAAGCGATTACCGCCGCCCATGAGCACCCGCAACACCAGGGGAATTGCAAGTACGCTGTCGGCCTTTTAAAAAGGAATAAGCTCTTTTCTTGAAGGTTTCAATATCGTATCGGTTCAGAAATATAATAATCTTAGGACAATTCACACAGCGCCATCTAGACCCAAATTAAGCTAACTAAAGCTTGTGTACTAGACAACTGATACAAATACTTAGATTGTGTTATGGGCTATATAAATTCATCAACACACAAGTATTACAGTACAATACCAATGCACTCACCAAGGAATAAAACGTATGAATACATATATACATAGATATTTTTTTAAAAATAATGTATAAAAAATAAAAACAGCATACATAATATCAATAATAGAAATATACTAATACTAGACCGATATAAGCAATCATACATTTAAATATGTCATGAAAAATTATATATAACAAATGTTTGTGCATGATCAGCATTTAAGGTTCTACACAGGGGCAGGGCAAATAAATTGTAGTTACGATTACGCTTTCCAAGTTCTGGGATTATATATAGAAAGCACCCAGACCGATACAAATAATCCTACTCATGAATATAAATGTTTGTGCCGTGCGAGGAATCGAACCCGCGACCATCGGTCGTAAAGCGGTGTGCTAGACCGCTAGACCACCGAGGTCGTCTGCTGTGGTTGTGGTCTTCATATATCATATAATTGTCATTATCTGCTTGTGGGATTAAGTCTGTTTGGGTTACGAGCACTGATTACACTATTTGCTTTTGCAATAGCATATGCTGGTGGTCAAATTTGTGAGAATAGTCACAAATTTGAATTTAGAAATGAATCTTTATTATTGTAAACATGTATAACATTAATTTGAAAAGAATACGAGCTGAGTTTCTTGTCAGTTCTTCTCATCTCGAAATCATTCCGAACTGACGATAGATTTGACATATCGTAAGAGTCTGTAATAGACCTACATGAGTAAAGATATTTTGAATATGTATTTGAATGTGAATCGCTTTTGCTTATTTTTTACGCTTTAGCGTATACCTCACTTACGGGCTGAAACCAATGAAGTGCAGTGTGTGTGTGTGTGTGTGAATGTGCATTTGTACAACAAGCACTAATTTATTAGGGTCAAATATAAATATACAATACGATTAAATCAGTCTAGTGATAAGAGCAGACCAGTCCCTACAAGCAGCACTCGTTCACGAGTATGACGGATGAGCCAGCCGTCACTGCGCTCGACCATATTTTAGGGAGGCCAATGACCCGGGCTTTATAATTTATCTAGCTACCCACCCTGGCTACGGTGTACATGTATTATATATATATATATATATATATATATATATATATATATATATATATATATATATATATATATATATATATATATATAAATCTACCTCTTGAATCACTCTATATATTAAAAAAACAGCTTCTAAATCCGTTGCGTAGTTTTAAAGATTTAAGTATATATAGGGTCGGACAGACAGTGACAGCGACTTTTTTTTATACTATGTAATGATGATTACTCAGTGTTATGCACCTGAGTTATGTATGTATATTATTATTATTTTATATTTATATGTGTGAAGGTATCTGCGGAATACCAGCGTCGTAGCACCCATTGCTAAGAGGAGACCAATATATAATTTAAAATATAAAAATTATTTTTGTTATTCTTATGTTTACTAAAGAAACTTATTTTCTTTCTTTCTTTTTTCTTTCTTTATCTACCCTCTGCTCTTCAGTTTCCCGTGATCATGGCAGTTGAAACCCTGCCGAAATATCGGGAACTCAGTACAAATAAAACGTGGTAAGATCCCGTGATTTACTAATATACTCGATTGGGGGTATTGTGATCCCATTGCTAGCAATGTACCATGTTAGGTCGACCTCCACGCGGTTGACCCTGTAAACCATCGTGATAAATTCTCGGTGAATTTGTAGCTTTGCTAACTGACCTGACCTCATGCTCATCTTATCATCCTCCACTGGTGCCTCGCCAGCGTAGACCGTTAGCGCAATCGGTTGCACCATTCCATTATCATAAAAAAAATATCGGGTACTCAATAAAAGTAACACGTGGTAAGATTCCGTGATTTTTTTTATTTTTTTTATTGGGTTGTTTGGGCTTTTGTCAGATGTTTGTAGCACCTGTAGCACTGCGACCTACACAGATCTATTGTGCTCGCCTTTTTCAAAGTTCGCTACCTAGACCCGTCAGGGACAAGGATTGAAGGATATTCTTAGGAGCGATGGTTTTTGTCTCCTCGGGAAAGAGTGTAAACTTTCCAAAGGAGATATTTCGTTTATGCATGAGTGGGCTACAACCACATAGGATGTGAAGCGGCGTTTCCTCTTCAGTTTGGCAGAATCTGCAGATACTTGTCGTGCATAGGCCTAGTTTAGCCATATGCTTGTTTAATTTGCAGTGTCCTGTGAGGGCCCTAGTCATCATGCATATGTTGTTACTATCCCGTGATTTACTGATATACTTGATTATAGTTTTAGTATGTACATATATGCTTTCATGCTTACTAAAATGTCTGTCTAAGTTGGCGGTTCAATGGACCGCGTTATTGAGGTCTCTGAAACAGTGTTGGACAGAGATCGCTGGTTAATCCATCATACTCATGAACGGACGCTGCTTATATTATACAAGCTGTACCCACGACTTGGTCCGCATAGAAACTAGCTTTATTTTTCTAAAATAAAAGTAGCCCAAGTTACTCCTTGTTACATCAGCTACCTGCCAATAAAAGTCCCGTCAAAATCGGTCCCGCCATTTTAGAGATTAGCCGGAACAAATAGACAGACATACAAAAATTGTAAAAAAAAATATTTTGGTGTATGTACCGTACCGTGTATTTATATTCATATGCATGTAGTAAAAAACGGTTATTTCAATATTACAAACAGACACTCCAATTTTATTTATATGTATAGATGTGGTCTATATATCGACATTCTGTGGCCACTTTGACTGATTTCTTTTGATTCTTTTTGGTTGGTGATAGAACGGTGAATATTTAGGGTTGTATATATTTTTTAATGCCACATTATAAAAAAATAAAAAATTTGTCCAACAATAAAGATATTAGTGATAGACCACCCTATCTATCACTTAGGTGTATGAAAAATAGATAATAGCCGATTTTCAGACCTACTGAATATGCATATAAAATGTCATAAAAATCGGCCAAGCCGTTTCGGAGGGGGATGCTAACTAACATTGTGACACGAGAATTTTATATATAAAATACTTGATGTATATAAACAAAACTTATTTATATACTTAAGCTTATATATTTACACTTATAATTAGGAAAAAACCATGGGTTCTTATTACGTTTTATTTATTTTTTTATTGAGTACCCGATATTTCAGACGTGTTGCAACCACCATGATCATGGGTAAACTGAAGAGCAGCGAGTAGATGGCAAATAAAAATTATGGGCAAGCATATTCCTATATCTTAAAACCTTAAAATTTCTATTGAAACTTACAATAAACCTAAAGGTAACTAGCTTTTGCCCGCGGCTACGCTCGCGTTATTTTATCCCCTTAGGGGTGGAATTTATCAAAATACTTTCTTAGGGGAAGCCTACATCATAGTAGATTTATGCATGCAAAGTCTCAGCCCGATCGGTTTAAAATTGACAAATGTTCATACAAACTTTCATCCCCTATTTTATCCTCTTGGGGGTAGAATTAATCAAAATCCTTTCTTTCTTATCTTTCTTAGCGGATGCCTACGTCATAACATCTACCTGCATGCCAAATTTCAGCCAGATCCGTCAAGTGGTTTGGGCTGTGCGTTGATAGATCACTATGTCAGTCACCTTTGAGTTATATATATATAGATATCGTGAAATTTAATAAAGTATATAATTTATTTACCCCTGGTTTCTGTACATTAAGTCGAGATTCAATATACATTCTCTCTTCTTTTGAGATAAATTTATGTTCTTTAGGAGAGCTGGCTGTGCAGAAGTACCATAATATTGCAGTAGCAAATAAGAGTCCAGACATAGAGTAAAATATAGCCTTCCATCCCATTGCAGTTTCTGCCAGTAAACCAGATAATGGCATTGATAGAATTGTACCAATTTGAACACCTGAAATACAAAAAAAAATTATATTAGTCAATATCTCTATGCGCTAGATTTTTTAAAAAATATATAACTACTTGCTTTTGCCCAAGGCTTCTTTAGAATTAATCAAAATCCTTTCTTAGAGGCTTCCCTCCTGCATTAATTTATCCGTCCAGTGGTTTGGGCTTAGGGATCACTATGTCAGCAATTTATTAAATATATATATTTCTTAACAGGATACCTACGTCATAGAACTTTATATCATGCATCAGAGTCTCAGTCAAAGTTTCCATGTCATACAAACTTTCATCCCTATTTTATCCCCTTAGATAGATAGAGACAGAATTAATCAAAATCCTTTATTTAGCGGATTCCTACATCATATATATATCTACCTGCACAAAACGGGAACAACATTTCAGCCCGATGCATCCAGTGGTTTGGGCTGTGCGTTGATAGATCACTATGTCAGTCACCTTTGAGTTATATATATATACTCTAGCTTTTGACTGCGAACAGAGATGAATGGAAGAGAAAAAATTTATCGACCACAAATTGGGGGAAGAAGCAGATGATGAATTTATCAAAATCCTTTCTATAATTTCATTTTCTTGCAATGCCTACGTCATAAGAATACAAAATCAAATAATTATGCGAACAATATTATATAACTATCATTTTTAGAGCAAAATTGTCTCAGTGCACGACGATCGGTTTAATATATTCACATTGTTCTATTATTTTCATACAATATATGTCTTTCATCCCCTATTTTATCCCCTAAAATTAGAATTAATCAAAATCCTTTCTTAGGGGATGCATACGTCATAACATCTACCTGCATGTCAAATTTCAGCCCGATCCGTCCAGTGGTTTGGGCTCTGCGTTGATAGATCACTATGTCAGTCACCTATGAGTTATATTTATATATATATATTTACATTTTAACAGAGATAACCGTTTTTTGGATTTATATATACATAATTATTTGTTCTGTCATTCAGAACTTTTGAAAAATATCATGCCCATCAGACGTCCTGCCGTAAAAAGTAGTAGGTGGTACTACTTTTTGTCACCTATTATTATTATTATTATGTCTAAACATTTTATCTCAAACTATCTTTAAACTAATTAATTAGATAGATAGAGACAGAATTTCATCACAATTGTCCAGCCGTTTATTTATGTGACAATCTTATTTACAGAAGAATTATATATATATCTTATGTACACAGAACAAAACGGGAACAACAATTCAAAATTAAGAAATTCTATCTGTATGCGAAGATAGACAAGGGTTGTTGCACCACAACGGGCGGGTGCAACGTAAGAAGCAAGTCCAGAAAATAAGAGAAGTATGTATGAGGCGTGGTAGTTGGAATGTAGGTTCGATGACTGGAAGAGGAAGAGATCTAGCGGAGGTAGAAAGGGAGTAAATAACGGGATGACTGCGAACAGAGATGAATGGAAGAGAAAAACATATTACGACGACCACAAATAAATGGGATAAGGAAGAAGCAGATGATGATGATATGTGTATGCGTAAAAAATCATATAACTTTCTATTAATTTCATTTTCTTGCACAAAGCTACTAAGAAAACGTAAATAAGAATACAAAATCAAATAATTCTATTAGTATTCGAACAATATTATATAACTATCATTTTTAGAGCAAAATTGACGATTTTCATAAATACCACTATAGAACTAAGAAAAAAATAATATTAACGCGCATACTGACCTCCATATACGATTGATAATATATATAATACCAGAAATGAGTACAACAAAATTTTTGAAAACATCTTTTTTCTGGCACATCCTTCCTGTGACGAGACTGCTTTCCGAATGAGCGGTAGATTAAAAAAAAAGGGATGACTATTCAAAAGTGCTTCAATGTAAGTTTCTTTGAATATGTTTTTCTAATCGATTCATTTTAATGTCTGATCTGAAGAGGCAGGCTTATGTGTGAAATGCTTACCCATGGTTTCAAACTATCGAGACATGAAAACCAAAAAATAATAGTTTTGGCCATCCACCCTGTTATAATTTATTTATTTATTTATTTATTTATTTATTTATTTATTTACTTACACAACTATTATTACAGGCCTAAGCAGAGCATATGTTATAGGTACTAGATATCTTATCTAATTCTATATTATACATATTTATTAACATAACATAACATTGACGACCTTGGAATGGTATGCTAAACTGCTAGACCAGCACGCCGCCTTTAAATAACTTAGTCCAATGGTCACGGATAAATATTTAAATTTAATTGTATCGTCATTCACAATATTAAACGACACGGCACAAACATTTGTATTTTTTCACTTTGGCGACCTCGTATGATTGTTTGTATCGGTCTGGGTATTTTCTATGTATGATATGTATGTATTTACGAAAATTTAGAAAAAAAAATTATCTATGTACTTGTATCAGTTATCTAGTACCCGTAACACAAGCTTTAGATAGCTTAACTTGGGACTAGATGGCGCTGTGTGAATTGTCCTCGGATTATTAGATAATTATTATTATTCTATGTATAGGATGATTTACATTTTTTAGACTAGGTAAATATCATTGTTTTATGCATGGGTGTACATGTATTATATATATAAACCTTCCTCTAAAATCACTCTATCTGTTAAAAAAACTGCTTCAAAATTCGTTGCGTAGTTTTAAAGATTTAACCATAGGGACGGACAGACAGCGACAGCAACTTTATTTTATATTATGTAACGATATTTTATATCGCAGTATACATTTTAGACCATTCATATTATAATCTAGATTCATAAATGTTCTGTTTACTGTCCGCACTTAAACTATGTACTATACCAAAAGGTCGTAGTTTCGATTTTGTCTCAATTTATATTTCTAACTGTAGACCATAACTCTGGAATAACATTATTTATTGTATGAAAATATCTTACCACTGCAGCTAATGTTGGAATGAGCAAAGACAAAACACCATTTGATATCAATGACACTAACAAAATAAGCTTGCCACCGAATTTTTTTGCTAATATACCGGCCGGTACTTGGAGGATCGTGTAACCCCAAAAGAATGATGACAATATGATATTCTTTGTTCTTGGATCCCAATCGTAAACCTGAAAAATAACCGAATGCTAATAAGATATCTCAGGTAGGCATAGTTATAGATAGTTAGTATATACTATTGCAAAATCAAAAAGTCTAATCAAACAAGACTTTTTGATTTTGCAATAGATACTACTACTATGCTGGTCACTATATTCTCCCAAATTTGAATTAACAATGAATCTTTATTATTGTAAGCATGTATAACATTTTTTGAAAAGAATACGAGCTGAGTTTCCTTTCAGTTTTTTGCAACTGAAGTAGCTATACGAACTGGACGGATAGTGATTGATAATATGAAGTATATGAGAGAGGCCTCAAGATCCTATGCTAACAAAAGATGTTGAGTTTTTTCAAATAAACTTAAATTTCAAACAACCAATATTTGAATAGAGTTCCTATTTAGAAAAGAAAAGGTAACAAAGTAACCTGCCATATTTATAATATCAGCATGGTAAAAGAACTTAGTATTCCATAGAGTCAGGTCCATCGTGTGGCAGAGAAAGAAACTCCTAGCAGTTTCTGGAACTTATGACCTGGGTGTAGTTTTAAGAGTCCCCTCACCGTCTCCACAGAAACACGAGTGTGTTTCTATCTCCAAGTCAAACTAGTGGGATCTTGGTAGTGTAGTGTTGAACTTACTGGTGGTAGGATCTGTAGTTCTAGATATGTCAATTTCTTTTAAAGATTACAGAGTAACATCATAAAAAGTAAAGGTAGATCATTATTGTCATAAATGTCAGGTTATTATATTAGGGAGTTCACGGTTATTGATAAAACTGAACAGTAGTCTGGTCCCTCTTATTGTTTTTACCAATAACTGCATTCCTTTCTGTTCAAAACTTAAAGATCTCGGGTTGACCATTGATAGTATTTTTAGCTGGGCGCATCATGTTAATGACGTCAGTAAAAACATTGAGAAATCTGTATCGGCTCAAAAACTTTCTTTCGAGTAAAATCTTGCTTATTCAATTGCTGGTGCTGCCGATCCTTGATTATGCTGATGTGTGCTGCTCAGACATGAATGAAGACCTCTTGAACAAATTGTTTGCTCAATAATGCTATACATTTCATTTTTGGACTTCGTAAATATGACCACATCTCTTCTTACCATTATCAGTTTAAATGGCATCAAAATTCTCCGCAATATCTTAAATCTAAATTTCTGTTAACCTTCGTCCTTGTAGGACCTTACTTCTTCACATTCCAGACTATCACACAAACTTCATTTCTTGCTCATTCGCCATTCAGGCAATTAAACACGAGAATGCTCTGCCCCTTGACATTAAATATATTAAAAATAAATCTCAGTTCAAAGCTAAATTACGGGTTCATTTTCTACGCAATGTGCAATCATAATTAAATTTCTAATTCTCCTTGTTTATCTCTTTCTTTTCCGCTCTATTTAACTTATCATCTGCCTCATACATGGGTAATTTTCCTGTATCTAAATATGTAATCCAAGTATGTATATGTGTATATATATATTATATTTATTTGTGTGTCGTATGTAAATATGTATGTCTAATAATATGTATTATTGTAAACTTATTACGTAAGTGTTTGTAAACTATAATGCGCCGCTAACTAACTTCTCACTTTTCCTTAAGGTTGACTGGTAGAAAATGTCTTTAGGTGTTAAGTTTGCCATATGTACATTTATATATTGTATTTGTGCATTAAAGTTATATAAGCATAAATAATTTATTTATTTATTTAAAATAAATAAATTATTTATACTACATAATCAAACTTTGATACTTACGACAGCACTTGTATCATTCTTCCGTTTCGCATCACACATGGCAAGCACCGCCACTGCCATGCTACTCCTTACCATAAATAATACCATAATGCATACCCCCATGCACAGCATTTGAACATGTCGAAAGCCATATCCATAGTCTGTAAAATTTATTAAGATGAACTAACTTTACTAACTTAAAAAACTATTTGGCTTTTTTCGGACAACTCTAATGCTGTTGGCCGCAGCTGGACTTTACAACTTCACAGGATGATAGAGGGGCGATAGCACACCAAACTCGCGGAAGGACTTATGGAGCGGCTGATACGACTTTAGTCTGAGGGCACCGCTAGCAGTTCGAACCTCGGCTCATGCCATCGTAATGCCCTTTTTACGCATAATTATAATCAGGGCAATTCAGAAAGCACCATCTAGTTCCAAGCTAAGCAGAGCTTGTGTTATGGGTACTAAACAATTGATATAAATACTCAAATATGTTTGTAATTACATACATGTACGACTGTGAATGTAATGTATGGTATATCTAAATATATAAAATTTTCACGTCTCATTGCAAAATAACTCCTTCGAGTGGCTTGATATTTAATGCTGATAAAATTTTCTGTATATATTTAGTGTGAGAATAGGACGTAAAACCGATTCTCATGAAATTTAGATTTTTATACTCTTAAATGATAAGGTTGGTCCACACAAATATTTATTTTGTATTTTAAAGCCAAAACTTTCGTTTATATTTTTTTATTTCTTAAAATATATATTCCATCCAAAATTTTAATCTTCTACCATCAACTCGTATTTTTACGTAACAAAACAAAACGTTTGCTGACTCGGTTGATTCTATATAGAAAATACCTCGTAGCAGTTTTACTACGCAATATTTTCATGCTCCTATAGTAATTAGCACTTAATTTATATATATTATTACTTTTTAATAACTCCTCCTCAGTATGATCAACTTGTTTTTCAGCCTTTTCACTAGTCATCTTGGAATATCAATTTAAATTTTCTTAAATACAATTAAAATCACTAATGCACGCCATGAATTTGAAACTCTCATTAAAAATTCTCATTAACGAAATTCACTTGTTGTATATATTGTAGCACTACGATGATTGTCTTTGGTTATATAAAATAAAATAATACTAGTCAGAGTACTTGTCTATAATTATCAAATTATATATGTGACTATTGAGATTCGCAATGTTTGAAGAATACTGATAAATATTTTACACGTCAATTCAGTAGTTACAAGATCTATCGTAGATTATACACAGGCTGTATTTTTATATAATACTAGCTGACCCGCGCCACTTCGTCTACGTTTCATTTTCCCACCTTTGCAATATATTTCATTGCAGCTCCGCTCCTATGGTCGTAGCGTAATGTTATATACTTTAAAGCTTACCTCGAGAAATGGATTGTCCGACACAAAAAGAATGTTTCAATTCGAACTAGTAGTTCCTGAAATTAGCGCGTTCAAACAAACTAACTCTTCAGGTTTTTAATATTAGTATAGAAAATAATAATGTTACTTATTGGAATAGAAAAATATATTTTACAATTTTATTTTATAGTGTACCGATAATAGCTACATTAATAATACTGTGTCGAGGCTGTCAACGCCAACCTTCTTAAGACAAAGGCGTTAGCGTTCCAACAGATCATAACAATCCTTACTATCCTATCTCGCTTTCTCGCAAAAACTACTGAACCGTTTTAAATAAACTAAGATATTACCATCGCACTATTGCAAGACTATATGATTGAGTTGGACAAAGTATACTAGTAGATTGTAACATAAATCTAGGTCTATATTTATGATGAATGATGATGAAGTTTTGAGACAATTACAATTTAGCCCAGTTAAGTTACAAGTATGTGCACTTAATGGAAAATGAAGGAGCTGGTTGAGATAATAGTCTTGTAGCGAATGTCATGTAACTAGTTTTTTCTCGATATAGTGTTAGTAAATTATCCAACAACAAATTATATCACAATCGAAATGCGGATTCTGCACAATTCTGCATTTCAGTCTAATCTTTACTGTAAACGATTAACGCTGTATCATCTGCATGAGTAACTATTTTTAAATTTAGTAGTGGTAACTTACAGAGGTCATTTATGTATATCAGGAATAAGGTAGGCCCAAGAATGCTACCCTGCGGAACTCCATAACGTAGAAAATCCTCTTTACTAATATAATTATCAATCTTGATAAGTTGGGAGCGTTTCTATAGGTAACTTGAAGAAATATTGAGTGAGAGGCCACGGATACCAATACGTTCCAATTTGAGAATTATAAATGTAATGGAGACAGTATCAAACGCTTTAGATAGATCAAGAAATGTAGCAATAGTTTTGAGTTTATTATTTATATTATTAGTTATTACACCAGTTTATATTATACCAGTTAAATAATATAAGATAGCATCCTCCGTATTTTTTGCAGACCTAAAACCAGACTGATTACTAGCAATAATATTCTGTTTGATTAAATTAGGAGTCTAGAATTTTATATTTTCTCAAAATTTTATTATGGGATTGTCAGACCAAAGACAGGTCTGTACTTATTTACACTACTTCTATCTCAATTTTTGTATACGGGATGTACAAGTGCTTTTATAAATACTGAAGGTAATACTCCAGCAGCTATACATATATTAAAAACATGACACATAATAGAATCAAGACATGTTTAGCAGCTTTAATCATACTCGTAGATAACTTTCTAGTTTTTTGTTTTGTTGTTTTTTGAAGTCTGCGATCATAGCCTTCATTTCCAAAATAAAAGACAAGAGTAGATAAGTCACTATCTTGATCAGATCTTGATTCAGAACATTAACGTTTGGAATGAAGTATTTTGTTTGATAACTTACAATCAGTGCTGGTGATGTATCTATTATGTGTGGTTCAGAAGAACTGTGCAGAAGAAGAGGACCATTGGACATGGCAGTTGTGGTAGGAGAAGGTGGCGAAAGATTTATGGGCATATTAATTTTTTGTTATCAATCGACTGAGTCCAGGAACACAAAATTTATAAAAAAAACCCTACTTATAGTTAATACTCACTAAATCGCTAACGCGCCATCTAGTCCCAATCAAGTAGAGCTTGTTTTATAGGTACTAAAAAGCTGATACAAATAATTAAGCACATTTTGTTATATGCATAATACACATAGAAAACACCTAGATAGACACAAACAATCATACTCATGAATACATATGAAGTGAATTTCAATATATAGATATGAATTTACAAAAAAATGTGTATTTAAATGAATTGTAACTTGGTATGCGTGAACATTAACTCAAAAGGAAAGACAAATTAGAACCTTTTGTAATGTAGTATTGGAGAAGGAAACAGAGTGAAAGATAAAACAAATATTGAGTGCTATTGAAAATAGACGAGAGGATCCTTGATAGGGAAGGATGAATTTAGAAATATTATTAATTTAAGAGAAAAATAGAATTAAAGAGGGTAGAGAAAGGTCAAGTCAGTTATGAACAAAGTTGAAGTCATGTCGAAATGTTAAAAAGAATGATGGAAGATCGTGAGAAGTGGTAAAAACTCCACCGACTAGACCGTGGCTCTTAATGTATTTAAATATTTCGTAGTTGTCTAACATCCATAATAAAAACTCTATTTTAGGGTTATTATTATCGTTATATAGTATTAAATGAAATACCTTCCGCTGTTCGCTTAGATCTTTTAAACTACGCAACGGATTTTAATGCAGTAGTTAGCAATAGATACAGTGATTCTAGAGGAAGATTTATTAATATGTTTAATGTTACAACCGTGCGAAGCCGGGGCGGGTAAGTAGTGATAAATGATATGTACATTTATTATCTATTATAAGAAATAATTACTACCTGTATATACATTACGTAAATTACCAAATTTTATCTTTACAATAGGTGTTATAAAAATTAATTATAATATAATCTTTGATACACTTCAAATATAAGATGCTTATGAGAGTGGTAAAATTTTATATTATGCAACTGTACATGATATTACAAATTCTTATGAATCGTTAAAATGAAACGAGCTCGTTTAACAAAAGTAACAAAGTCACGTACTCTTATAGCTTTTTAAATTTCTTTAGGCGAATAATCTCAGCAAGTTTCCGACTGTTTCGGAGTATTTCTTTTATATTTTGCAAACCATTCTTCATGTATAATTAATGTAAGTACATATATGCGTATAAATAATATAGATCATCGTGTACAACTGACACAGTACCATCTAGTCTCAAATTAAGATGATTTTGTACTAACCGACATATATATAAACTTAAATACGTTATTAATACATGTTTTTTATGTAATTGGTAAACAAACTGACGGTAAGTACTGTCACTTTTATACATAACTACACAGTACCACAGGCAAACAGATCTTCTGATCGATACCCCGTCTAAATCAACGGTGAACGAATTTATGATGACCTCAACACATGTTCGAACCCGTAGCGGTGTCCTCAAACTAAAGTCGTATCTGTCAGGTAGGAGTTAGCCTTCAGCCGCTCCGTAAGTCTTTCCTTGGGTATGGTGTGCCATCTACACTCGCCCCCTATAGGTGAAGCTGTAAAGGCTGCGGCCAACAGCATTAGAGTAGTTCGAAAAACAATTTTAATGAAACTTTATTTTATTTTATTTTTTATAACTAATAATATAGCTTATACATCAGAACACCTAGATTATAAATTTCATGCGGATAAAACCGTGGGCACAGCTAGTAATTTATAAAATAAATAATTACAATTGTGGGTCATAATATGTAAAACACATTAATTCAATAAATTAATCTTTATTTTATAAATTTAATTATTATTCATTATTGTATATAAAATTGCAAAATATTGCTAAACTTAAAATATAACACTTATATGTAATAAATTATATTTACGACAACTCTGTTTGCAATCGAAATATATTCTAATAATAATAATGTATCAACAGATCAGATTTCTTGCCTTTCTCGGCTCTTCACAATCAGCCAACTATGCAATGATTTTGAGTCTTACGAATTTGTGTTTATATAAAATACAAAAAATCCTAGTTCAATAAAGTAAAGTTGCTAAATGTTTGTAACAAAATACATCAGGCAATCTTCCTATAAGCACATTTGTTAAGGGTCGGCAATGCGGATGTGAAACCCCTGGTGTTGCAGGCGTCAATAAGATATGGTAATCGTTTATCGTCAGATGAACTATATCCTTGTTTGCCATCATTTTCATGTAAAAAATAACATGTATTGCGAGTATAAATTATTTAACACACACACAATCTGAATGAACTAAACCATGAGACAATTACATGTACTTTTCCAATAGTATTCTGTACCGATTCTATAAAAAAAATACATAAATATCATGAATTGGCACTTTATAAATATAATACTTTCACGGCTATGATTCTAGATGGGGTAATCAGAGTTATTGACAATGTCGACGTCGAAGTCAATGGACCGCTTGAAAAGCGTATGAATCAACGTAGCAGGGGGCGAGACAACCGGCGCCTTACAGATTACTTCGGTAGTTTCTCTCACCGGAGAAACTGTTAGAAATATAAATAGAAATACAAACAATTTTGATGTCAACGATCAAAAATGTGAAATTGCTTAAACTGTAATGATGATAATTTATTTCGTTATATAACAATTACTTCAATAGTTAACTATTAATAATAGCTTTATATTATTTTGTTTAATTCTGCTTCCATTAGTACGTGTGACCACACTGTTCAGTGCTTCATTCAGAGACGAAACACATGTTGCAATATAAGTATGTGTAGACTCAATAACGGTCGGATTTTAATCAACAAGAGAAGGTCGTGACGCTTCTTGTAACGGTAGTCAAGTTTCCGCACTGACTATTATTCGTGGTAGCGGAATTAAAGAAAATAATATAAATCCATTAGGTAGTGAAATGGACTTCCGTAAAATGATACATATATAATTACGTTAATGTAATTTTTCTGTTAGAGACACTTGTATATTATAATGAAGGAACTTTAAATCTATATCAAAAAGTAAGTACAGAAAGTGCTACAAGATTTACATTAAATTCATTATAAATACTTAAACATAAAGTCATGTCTTGCTTTCTATTATCACGAGATCATATAACATAATCTATATTAATATTCTAAAGCTAAAGAATTTGCTTATTGGGTTTAATTGGAATAACATTGAATTGAATAATTCTTTTAATGTTGGATAGCCCATTTATCAAGGAAGGCTTCAGGCTACATACAACAATATTAGCAAAGTAAACAAAACAGCTCGAGACTGTTAGTTTTCTATCTTTGTAAGGATCTTTATATCCTACTTAGTACTTCTAAATATCACATTTTTTTCTATTATTATATCTTAAATAGAGTTCTTCAGTCAGTACTTATTAATTTGCTACGTTATAATGCAGTTTTAGCATCCACAGGTTCTATGACGTATGGCAAATGTGGTTTAGGTTGAATATCATGATTTATCTCGGGAGTTGTCTTCTGGGCTGGCCTTCTTTTTCCACCTGCAAAAAATAAATGAGTTTTCAATACATTATCATCATTACATAGAATAAAACAAAGTCGCTGTCGTTGTCTATCCCTATGTATGCTTAAAAAACTACGCAACGGATTTTGGAGCGGTTAATTAATAATTTTTAAGAGATAGAGGAATTCAAGAGGAAGGTATAACTAGCTTTTGCCCGCGACTTCGCTCGCGTTAATTTATCCCCTTAGGGGTTGAATTTATCAAAATCCTTTCTCAGGGAATGCCTACGTCATAGTAGCTTTATGCATGCAAAGTCTCAGCCCGATCGGTTTAAAATTGACAAAGTTTCATACAAACTTTCATCCTCTATTTTACCCCCTTGGGTGTAGAATGAATCAAAATCCTTTCTTAGCGGATGTCTACGTCATAACATCTACCTGCATGCCAAATTTCAGCCCGATCCGTCCAGTGGCTTGGGTTGTGCGTTGATAGATCACTATGTCAGCCACTTTTGAGTTATATATATAGATACATGTAAACCCTTGCGAAGCCAGGGGAATCTTATCTTACCAGTTTTGGCCAAAAATGGTCATTTAATTTTATAAATTTCTGGACTATTTGTGCTCCTGTAGAATAACTTTACAGGAGCAGAATTAAGTTTACTTGCAACATTAGTGGTATAAAAAGTTTTATAGCGGCTACAAATTACCTCCGCCCATTAAGAGTTTCTGCAGCGTGGAGAACGGGGCGTCTATAGCTATGCAGAGAATGAATGCAGCCAAGTACGTAAACCAGAAGTCCGCCATGAATCTGTACAACTGCGGACAGTAAACAAATGTTAATTAATTACCTAATAGTAAATGTATCTAGACACGCGGTAGCGTGTCAAGCCGAGTTTCAAGTAAACTGGCAAGCAGCACCGTGTGTATATTCACACGAACCATTTGGAGCCACTTTTGACCCCCTCATAACTCAAAAACTCTTTCACACAAACGAAATATACTGTAGCCATTGCAAGTTCTAAACATGTTACTTGTCGGTTCCTATTTTAATATTAGTAGTAACTAGCAATCGAAAGTAATAATTGGTATATGAGAACTGGCCAAGTTAGACCTTAGGCTACAGTATATTATCCTAAGTTATAAGAAGAAATGATATTTTATATTGTTATAAATACATTTCAGGACAGACCATTGAACTTGGCACCCATTTAGATCTCATCTCTTTTGTCGTAGAAGTCAACAATCAAAGTATATATCATAATATTAAACTCGGCTATCATTTCACATTTATGTTTTTGATGGGATCATCTATACATATATATATGACGACCTCGGTGGTCCAGCGGTCTAGTACACCGCTTTACGACCGATGGTCGCGGGTTCGATTCCTCGCACGGCACAAACATTTGTATTCATGAGTATGATTGTTTGTATCGGTCTGGGTGTTTTCTATATATAATATGTATGTATTTACAAAAAAAAATCTATGTATTTGTATCAGTAATCTAGTACCCATAACAGAAGCTTTAGCTAGCTTAACTTGGGTCTAGATGGCGCTGTGTGAATTGTCCTGAGATTATTATTATTATTATTATTATATAAAAGGTCAGTAATTAATAAACTTGAAGCCTTACATACACTATAATCATATAGAATCATAATATAATTCCTTCTTTTTACCTAGTCATACTGATGTACACACATACATACGCTCGCACCAACACACACACCCACCCACACTACACTCATATGTACAAACACACTTTCGCACATACAAATGCATTTTTCCTCGTATCTATAGTAAAACCTGTAACACACATATCTCATATCTCTTTTCCTCATTCAACCCACTACATATACACCATCATAATTATAAGTAGAAAATATATTGGTTTGTATGCGTTTAGTATGTATGCGACCCACATATCTTAATACTTTAATATAATTTGTGATCATGCATGTTGGATTTACAATAACATAGTACATATAAAATGTAAAATAATTATAAGTTTCCAAATTGTGAACCTGTTTTTGATCCTAAATAAATAAATAACAATAATAATATACATATAAATAAAATTGCAGTGTCTGTTTGGAATATTGAAATAACCGTTTTTTACTATATGCATATGAATATAAATACGGTACATACACCAAAGTAACATTTTTTACTATTTTTATCTGTCTGTCTGGCTAATCTCTGAAATGGATGGACCGATTTTGATAGGACTTTTCTTGACATGTTGCTGATGTAGTAAGGAGTAACTTAGGCTCCTTTAATTTTAGAAAATAAAGTTAAATTCCACGCGGATGAAGTCGCGGGAACACTTAGTATATAATCATTTTGTGTTAAATGAATACTTACATTATCTCCATTAGAGAAATAGTGGGTTTTGACCCAACTACCATTGGCTATCATGATGATAGGGAAATGAATCAGGTACATAGCGTAGGAGAGCCGCGCTGGTAGCTTCCACATTTGAAGAGATAGAAACCAATTTATTGGTCCTGCGAAAGAAATAAAAAATCATTAAGCATGTGTTTTGGAAGATAATTATAATTTAAGGAGCCAACAGAATATCAGCGCTGCAGAGTTATCTGTAGCATTATGCTCAGTTGGCTGCCTTTTCACTTTTCACTTGCTGCGCCACCAAATAGATAATCCCGCAGTTGTAGAACGGATAGGATTCAATATCCCACCGAATTACGTGAGAAGTGTCACCCATCGTTGTGTCCGACTGTTTGCAACCGCGTCGGTACACAAGCCACGCTAGCAATTCTCCCACTATGAGAGCATTGCAATTATTAAATTTATTTTTAGGTAAGAATAGAATAGAATAGAATAGAAAATCTTTTTAATATAAAAATTTATTCAAATAAACTTAATTTAAGCACTTCTGAATAGTCAACATTTTTTTAAATCTACCGCTTATTCGGAAAGCTGTCTCATCACAAGAAGAATAAGCAAGAAACTTGTGTGTTGCTCTTTTAAACAATCCTTGTAAGTTCACATTTTACAAGTCGAAACGTGTGAATACCAACTACCAACCAGCACTAATTTATTTAGGCTCAAATATAAAAACACAATAAGATTAAATCAGTCTAGTGAAGAGCAGACCAGTCCCTACAAGCAGCACTAGTTCACGAGTATGACGGATGAGCCAGCCATCACTGCGCTCGACCATATTTTAGGGAGTCCAATGACCCGGCCCACCACGCCGCCACATGTCTGGACATTTTAGTGATCATGACTACTCATTCCACTCGACCACGTCACAGCTACAAAAATTACTATATGGTAGTTACAGTATTCGCACTTTACATAAGGATGCATGCGGCAATCAATACAAAAGCCGCTAAGATCCAAGATGCTGACGTATACACAGAAGCCTTGCCTTCCATAATTACTAAAATAAGAATATTTTTATCATCGTATAATTTTAAGTAGTATAAATAGTTTTAAAATATAAACGTGCTGTAACTGTAAGTTTATATTGTATAAATTAAATAAATAAGTAAAATAAAGTCGACTACATTTCTTTTATTAATTTCATGTTTTTCTGTATCTCATGTATGTCTCTGTAATTGTGAATAAAGAATTTATCTATCTATCTATATCTAACTAATTGTTTTTTTTTTAATATGGAACATCAAAAATGGCTTTGGTGGTATTGAGCCTCGTCAGCAACAGGCAGACTACGATTCATTTGCGAACCAATATATACCAATATTCATAACATTAATACTTTATTTGAAGATAAACTTGACTGACTGACTGACAGGCTGTTCATTTAAAAAACGTCAATAGATCTTTTATAACAATGAGTATTAAAATTTACAACAAGACACGAAAGGATATACTGGAATTACACTTAAATAAATTAAAAACAAATGTTAAATCAAATTTACTGAGCAAAACGAATTACTCACTAAACGATTACTTGAATGACGAGCGTGCATAGCAATAGTTCATGCACGGGATTTTCATTTAACGTTAGACATAGACACCTATATAAATATACATTGTAAATAAACTGGCTTAAAAAAAGTCAATAGATTTTCTTGCCAGTTCTTCGCAGTTGAATCTGTATACTGAACTGGAGGGTAGGGAAAAAATTATAATATAAAAATTGTATTATCTAAAATGAACATGACATGAACAAAAGATTTTTGAATTTGTATTTAATTCCGATAATTTGTATTTAATTACAACTCTTTGCCCAATAGTTTAAAGGAAATACATAATTGGAAGCTTTTTAGGAGGAGGTTGCGTTGTTTTCTGTTGTGAGCAATCATTTTACAGTGTTGATGAATTTCTTAGCAGCAAAAATTGTATAATTTCAAACACAATAAAAATTGTTACTGAATAAATAAATATCAAAACGAGGCGTGACCGCGAAATATGTGAAACAGCTATCACAAAGAAAGTTGAATTTTTAAAAAACAAATTATTTTGAAGACACAATTCAAATTTGCTGTTTCTCTCAATTACCGATTGTGCTTTATTATTCAGAATTAAATTATTAACCAAAAAAATAAATCAAGCAACAGAGGAAAATTAAATAAAGTAACTACTATCAATTATTACTGTTATTAGTTAGATTTCGACGGCCTCGGTGGTCTAGCGGTTAACAGACCACCTTACATCCGATGGCTTCGGGTTTAATTTCTCGCACGGTGCAATCATTTGTATTCATGAATATAATTGTTTGTATGAGTTTGAGTATTTCTATGTATATTGTGCATGAATTTACAAAAAAAAAGTACTTATATTATATATATGTATATTATTTTATATATATGTAGGTATATGTATTTATATATTATACTTAAATATTTATTTAATATTCTAGTTGTTATATATTATAGTTATATAATGCGTTTGTTTCTTTTTCCTTTGTTATTATTGTCATGTATATATATAGTCCCACCACTCCACAATTCCTTTCAGTCATTCAAAGGTTGACTGGAAGAAATCCCTCATTTGGGATAAGTCCGCCATTGTACATCTTATATATTTTTTTTTTAAGATCTTTAGTTAATTTAAATGTATTTATTGTGCAATAAAGTGTTACAAACAAAACAAACTTATGTCAGTTGTCTAGTACCCACAACACAAGCTCTGCTTACCGTAGGACTAGATGGCGCTGTGTTAATTGTCCAGGGTTATTAATTTAGTGTAATTAGTATCATATATTACTATTATACATACCTCCATAGCCCTTCACGCAGGCAAATATCAACCAGCCGACTGCACACGCCCATATAGTTCTCATGTAGGCATTTAGGAAATTGTCAAAGACCTGAGCGTTATGGTCTAACTGCATTACTGGATAAATACTGAATATGCAGAAAGCCATCATTGCAAACGATAAACTCCACAGAAGGATGACATTAATCTGGAAATATCAACAAACTAATCATTAATCCAAAAATAATTCGAAATATTTATTAAATTAATTAATCAATTATTCATTAAATTAATATTTTATTAATTAAATTAATCAAATATTAATTAATTAATCATTTATTAATTAAATTATTCATTTATTAATTAAATTTATCAATTTTTAATTAAATTAATCAATTATTGATTAAATCAATCATTTATTTATTAAATTAATCAATTATTAATTAAATAAACAATTATTAATTAAATTAATCAATTTTTAATTAAATTAATCAATTATTAATTAAATAGTTATTGTATATGAACGTTTACTTGAATGACGAGCGTGCATGGCAATAGTTGTTCATGCACGGGATTTTCATTTAATATACATAGTAAATAAACTGACATTTAAATAGAAAAAATAAGTAATTCAATCGAGTTTCTTCCCAGTTCTTGACTTTTCATTCTCTCTCTCTGTCCAACCCATGTTCCCAGTTTATCTGTGGTCGTGTCCCCCCGTAAACCTGTGCCAGATAACTCTGTTCTGTGTTGTTTGAGTTGTAAGGTTCCAGATTCCATGGCACCTGTGCCGGAGAACTCTGTTCTGTGTTGTTTGAGTAGTAAGGTTCATAATCTCTTAGCATTTAATTATCCATTAAAATAATATTATAGTATTTTATAAATACCTTTGAGATTCGAATTCTTCTGTCCCTCCACAAGTGCAGTAAATATCCGAATATCATGCCGACAAAAAATGGCGGCGCTCTGGCTAGTGTATTGAAGTAATAATGTTTAGCATATTCCCCAAACTCTCCTATACGACTGCAATTAATTATATTTATATATATTACAATATGTTATAATTAATAAATGTTAGCATCACCTGCTTCTTCCTTATCCTCTTTATTTGTGGTCGGCGTAATATGTTTATCTCTTCCATTCATCTCTGTTCGCAGTCATCTCGTTATTTAGTCCATTTGTTGGCATATCATCTCTCAAACAAAGGTACATTTTACATATATATATATATACACTCATATACATACATACACACTTAGAACAATTACAAAAAAACATCTTATATCTTATATATAAAATTCTCGTGCCACAGTTTTCGTTCCCATACTCCTCCGAAACGGCTTGACCGATTCTCATGAAATTTTGTGAGCGTATTGAGTAGGTCTGAGAATCGGCCAACATCTATTTTCATCCCCCTAAATGTTAGGGGTAGTCCACCCCTAATTTTTTTTTTTATTTAAGGCAAAACAACGTTTGTTGGAACAGCTAGTTATTTATATATATATGGTTGGCAACATGGCTGATACTCAACATATAGTCCATCCGTCTCTTTTTTGGCCTTCCTCTGCCAGTATAACCATCCACATTCATATGTAACACCTTTCATTGAAATTAATAATAAAATCCTTAGACAATTCACACAGCGCCATCTAGTGCCAATCTAAGAATATCCTGTTTCATGTGTATAAAACTGTATCTGAGTTTTTATATCAGTTGTCTAAACTGATATAAAAACTCAGATACAGTTTTTTTTGTAAATATGTAAATAATATACATAGAAAATACCAGACCAATACAAATAATCATACTCATGAATAAAAGTGGTATCGTGCGAGGAATCGAACCCGCGACCATCTAAAGTATAGCGGGGTACTATACTGCTTAATCGCTAGACCACCGAGGCCATCAATTTTAATATTTCAGTATAATCTTATTAATTATATAAACGCGTAAGTTTGTGAGTATAAATGGATGTTTGTTAATCTTTCACGCAAAAACTACTGAACGGATTTTGATCTTTACAGTAATATAACTTACTATACATCAGAATAACATTTCACGCAGGTAAAACCGCAGGCACAGCTAGTATACAATAAGATTACTTACTCCGGATGCGCAAGAGCTGCAGAGAAGTTGAACAAGAAGCTGTACAGACTGGAGGAGACAAGAGAGAGCAGAAGGATAGCGCTGAGTGCAACACACGCTATCTTCTTATCACCGAACATCAGCAATAGGATGATAGGGCAGACCATGTACAGTTGCATGTCCACAGATAAGTACCAAGTGTGTGTTAAACACTGAAAAAAAAGCATTTAAATTACTATTATTATTGACAGTCTCGGTGATCTAGTGGTTTAGCACACCGCTTTACTATCCGATGGTCGTGGGTTCGATTCCTCGCACGGTACAAACATTTGTATTCATGAGTATGATTGTTTGTATCTGTTTGGGCGTTTTCTATGTGTAATATGTATGTATTTATATCAGTTGTGTAGTACCCATAACACAATCTCTGCTTAGCTTGAGATTAGATGGCGCTGTGTGAATTATCCTGAGATATTATTATTATTACTATCTATACTAGACTAGTGATCACCAGATGGTCTAAATTCGGCCATAAATAATTTTAATTATAAGTTTGATCATTATTAACATCATTAACATCATTGTCAACTAGTTACGCACCCCGGCTTCGTACGGGTGTACATGTATTATACATATAAACCTTCCTCTTGAATCACTCTATTAAAAAAAACCGCTTCAAAATCCGTTGCATAGTTTTAAAGATTTAAGCATACATAGAGACGGACAGACAGCGTCAGCGACTTTGTTTTACACTATGTAATGAAGTCTTCTATATTACAGCCAAATAACTACCTTCAAATAGTATTAAATTTTATAAATAATTTAATTTAACTGTATCCTAAACGTCGTTAGGATTGTCATATTAAATGACAAGAGTAAACGAAACAAATTCTGCAATTTTATCATATTTATATATATAGGATTTACATTTTTAAGACTAGGTATTTAAACAGTCTAGTTAACTTACCATTTGACTGCTGTTAACATAATTCTGAACATGCAGCAAAGCTGACCACCAGTACTGTCTGCAGTTCTCAGTAGCGAGAGCCACGTTCTGCCAGAACGGACCGTCGGATACATGGTTGAATACTGACGCTTGTAGGAGTACCACAGTGGCCAGCAGTGGAAACATTCGTAGCAAACGATTGATGTAAAACGCGTGTAGGGCTCTGATGAAACGACCTGGAATTTAGTATTTTGAAATAAGTTTACTTGCATTGTCATCATCATCAACAACAACAACATCACCAATAACAACAATACCAATATCATCATCATCAACAACAACAATACCAACATCATCATTATCAGCCCACTCCACTGTTGGACATTGGCCGCTCCCAAGGCACGCATCGGCAACGATCTTCTGTCCTTCTCATCCAGATATTACCCGCAACCCTACGTACATATATCGGGATCTTCCCACTTTTTATATTTATTTGCTGAGTTCCCGATATTTCGGCAGTGTTTCAACCATGGTGGTTGAAACCAACCGAAATGTATAAGATCCCGTGATTTCTACTAATTATACGTATAGTTTGTGAAAGATGATATGGTAAGAAAGGAAGTAAATAACGCGATGACTGCGAACAGGGATGAATGGAAGCGAAAAACATATTACGCCGACCCCAAATGAATGGGATAAGGAAGAAGCAGATGATGATAGGTATAGTTTGTAATATAATTCAATTTCGCTATATTTAGAATCTTTATTAATATGATCTTATTAATATTATAAATGCCCAAGTTTGTGAGTATTGATGGATGTTTGTTACTCTTGATTTTGTTGAAACTTTACAGTGATATAATAGTATAAAACAAAGTCACTATCGTTGTCTGTCCGTCCCTATGTATGCTTAAATCTTTAAAACTACGCAACGGATTTTGAAGCTTTTTCTTTTAAATAGATAGAGTGATTCAAGAGGAAGGTTTACATATATAACACATTCAGGTTGTGAACACTGATTAAATTTTTTGTTCTTTGCGATAGCATATGCTGGTGGTCACTCTATTCTCCCAAATTTGAATTTTAATAACTGTATTTATCATAAACATGTTCCACTATTATTTGAAAAAAATACGAGCTGAGTTTCTTGTCAGTTCTTCTCATCTCGATATCATTCCGAACTGACGGTAGATTTGACATATCATAAGAGTCTGTAATAGACCTACATGAATAAAGATATTTTGAATTTGAATTTGAATTTGAACATGTACACCCGTGCAAAGCCGGGCCGAGTAGCTAGTAATCAATATCAATAAGACATAGGCTATAAATTTCATGCATGTGAAACCGCGGGTGCAGGCAGTATAAAATATGACTGTATCATCAGCTTACCTCTGCTTATTTTCCCAATAGTCGTGTAAACAACAAGCAAGCCACTCAGCAAGAAGAAAGTGTCGACAGTGAGTGGTGCTGAGTTTACCCATGTACTCGAAAATTGACGCAACCACTAAAAGAAATAATCATATAAAAATCAAACATATAATAAATCTATTAATTATTATTTTACTATATAAATTATCTATCTAAATATATATAACTCAATGGTGACTGACATAGTGATCTATCAACGCACAGCCCAAACCACTGGACGGATCGGGCTGAAATTTAGCGTGCAGGTAGATGTTATGACGTAGGCGTCCGCTAAGAAAGGATTTTGATTAATTCTACCCCCAAGGGGATGAAATAGGTGATGAAACTTTGTATGAAACTTTGTCAATTTTAAACCGATCAGGCTGAGATTTTGCATGCATACTACTATGATGTAGGCAACCCCTAAGAAAGGATTTTGATAAATTCCACCCCTAAAGGTATAAATTAACGCGAGCGAAGCCGCGAGCAAAAGCTAGTTCACTAATATAATTGTTAACGTAATATATGTATATAGGAAACACTCAGAGTGTTTCCTATATACATATATTATGTACTAAGTTTCATCCATGTTAAATTTATAGTCTATATATTATTCTGATGTATAAGCTACGTTACTGTAAAGTTTCATCAAAATCCGTTCAATAGTTTTTGCGTGAAAGACTAACAAACATCCATTCATCAGAATAACATATACTTAAGTATTTATAACAGTTTTCTATTACCAATATTACTGCTTAGTTTTAGTAGGACTAGATGGCGTTTTGCAATTTTTTTTTATACTACACGAGTGGCAAATTATTCTAGATTACTATTATTGCCACTTACCTCCATAGTTTCTCTCAAGTTGTGTACAAATCCGAGTAACGTCAAAGCGTACGTGTGTCCGATAACAACCCAGGCCATGGAAATGGCTCGAATGCCATCCACACATTCCAAGGCTCCAGGCTGAGATTTGAATGTGAGAAACCGCCTCGTGTTAGTGTAAACAGAAAACACTCGATACAGAACTTCCGCTTCTGTAAATAAAATCATTATCTTATATATAAAATTCTCGTGTCACAGTTTTCGTTCCCATACTCCTCCGAAACGGCTTGACCGATTCTTATAAAATTTTGTGAGCGTATTGAGTAGGTCTGAGAATCGGCCAACATCTATTTTTCATCTCCCTAAATGTTAGGGGTAGTCCACCCCTAATTTTTTTTTTATTTTAAGTTAAAACAACGTTTGCCGTGACAGCTAGTGTAGTATAAAATAAAGTCGCTGTCTCTGTCTGTCCGTCCCTATGTATGCTTAAATCATTAAAATTACGCAACGGATTTTGAAGCTGTGTTTTTTAAATAGATTAATTCAAGAGGACGGTTTATATGTATAATACACGTACACTCGTGCGAAGCCGAGGCGAGTATACTAGATATTAATAAAAAGGACCACGAATTTCACATCATTAACTAACGTTAAATTTGAATGAGGCTTCAAAAATTTCAATTTGGTAATTATATATATACAAACTAGACTCGTGCAACTCCGTCTGCGTGAACTGTTCTCCGATTTTTATACATTTTTCATTGCAACTCAGCTAGCCTACCTCAATACATTTATTTATTTGAAAATTCTGTTAGTGTTGGATAGCCCATTGGCTATCCAACACTAACAGAATTTTCAAATTCGGTTCAGTATATCCAGAGATAATTCCTTCAACATCACAAACTTTACCTCTTTTTAATATAGATTACTAACTACTCGCCCCGGCTTCATCCGGGTGTACATGTATTATATATATAAACCTTCCTCTTGAATCATTCTATCTATTAAAAAAGACTGCATCTAAATCCGTTCCGTAGTTTTAAAGATTTAAGCATACAAATGGACGGACAGACAGCGACAGCGATTTTGTTTTATACTATGTAAAGATGACAATATAATACTATAACAAAATTAAAGTACCTTCTTTTTATGATGTAATTACATAAATTAACTACATATCTATATAAATGGGTACATTAGTATGATTTTAAACAGTAACTTATCATATCCAAATACAGTTATCAAATAATACATTTATTTTACTGATAAAGTGTAGCAACGTACCTGTCTTTAAAACAAATACACAGTAACAATCGTAGGAGGTGCTGATCACTATCAAGAATCCAATTATTGAGAAGATGGTACTGAAACAAACATACATAAATAAATATATAACCCTGGACAATTAACGCAGCGTCATATACAGAAGCTCAGCTGTCCCACGGTCAGCAGAGCTTGTGTTATGGCTATTAGAGAATAGATATAAATAGTAATATATACAGAAAATACCCAGAGCGATACAAACAATCATACTTCATCATTGAATATAAATGTTTGCACCTTGCGAGGATTCGAACCCGCAACTCCGCAGTAAATAAATAACATATATTCTATATTTTACCGAATTGGATGTAATTTTAGACTCAATAACAATCGGAATTTGTTCACAAATAGAGAAGGTCGTAACCGTAAGAATAGAACTAGTGACCTTCGGAAGTAAAATGGTGTAAACATCTACACCACTTAGGCGATCAAGATAAGTTCATGCAGTTAAAAAATTTAAAACATCTCAGAAACATATAATAACATCAAATAAATAATTATATTTATTAAATTAAAGAGTTAAAAAATTTAAAACATCTCAGAAACATATAATAACATCAAATAAATAATTATATTTATTAAATTAAAGATTTGTTCGTACAATGTAAACAAAATAATCCATTAAGTAAAGTATGACCATCATGCTCCTATACGACCAGTTCGAGTCAAACACTTACCTGCGCCATGGCTGACAGATGAAATAAAAACTTTGCAAGCCAAAAAAAATAGAGCAAAGGCAAAATTTAAATCAAATCCCGATGTATTCCGTGATGAGTATATTATTATAGAATAGAAAATTGTAATTCCTAAAGTCTGGAAATTCTTGAAGTCTCTTGGGGTTGGTAAAAATAATTACACTAATTCCTTTGATTTAGATACCAATAACCTTATAACTTCAGTTGCAAACACAAAACTAAATACCATACCAACCCCAGAATAATTGTTAAAGATGTTGAGAAGAGCTATCGTTTGGTACGGATAATATTAGATATCTAGATATTGTCCTTCCTATTATCACCAAAATTTTCAATGTTTCCTTAAAAAAGATGCTCATATTATTCCACTTCCCAAAAAGAATCTCGTAAACTCTCTTCAATCCGGTTTCCGTCCTGGTCATAGTACGACTACTGCCCTTGTAAAAATTACAGACGATATTCGTTACGGCATGGAGAACTCCCAGACTGTCCTTACATTACTAGATCTAAGTAATCTTTCAACACAGTTATATGATGCGTTCTCTCAACATATCTCCAATCGTAACTAAATGGTTTCAAACATATCATTAGTGGTGCCAACCTCAGCCGGCGTTATCTCCATTACTTTTCTCGCTATTTATTAACTCCATTACTCTCGAACTTCATTCCTCATACCACCTTTACGCAGATGATCTCCAACTATATACACAAGCTCCAGTACATAACATCACCTCTGCCATCACTAAAATCAACGATGATTTAGCAACCATTTCAAACTGGTGCAAATCGTACGGATTAATCGTGAATCCTTTAAAAACGCAAGCTATTATAATTGGCAGCCTTTATATCGCCAGAATATTGTCTTCAATGGTGAACTCATAGACAGTGACAGTGTGAAAAACCTAGGAATTTACATCAGACACTATCATGGTCGACTCAAATTATGGAACTTAGTAAAAAGGTTTTTAGTGTCGCTGGTTCATTAAAACGATGACACCAAGGTTACGCTTGCAAACACCCTATTACTTCCTATTCTGGATTATGCAGATACTTGCTATCTAAACCTCACCGAAGCCCAGTTGAACAAACTTGAGCGTCTTCAAAACGTCTGCATTAGATTCATATTTGGTTTACGTAAATACGACCGCATTTCCGTATGTATTTCTATCCTTTTTAACCCTTTTATACCTTAAAGAATCTTTCACATTTCTCGGTGAAATTAACCTCCTGTTAAAAACTCCCACCCATACCTCTAGTTACTATTCCAAATCCTTCTCTGTACAGGCTGTGCGCCTTTGGAACTCGCTACCGCCCTCCATACGTAATGCTCAATCCTCAGCCATCTTTAAGAACTTAGTTAAATCTCACTTTCTCTCCCCGTAAATACTCTTATGTTCACTTCTTTTCCACTTCTATTGCTTCTTACATTTAGTATAGTGTGTTATTTGTGTAATATTTATATGTATGTATAATTTTTATGTGTATGTATGTATTTATTAATTTTAATTTATTTAAGTAAGTTTATATATATATATTATATTTTGTTACCTTATTTCCACTCCACGTGCCGCCTACTTTATTTTTATTTATACTCTCTTTCATAAGGTTGTCTGGAAGAGATTGCGTTAGCGATAAGACCGCCTTCTGTACCTTCTTCTTTCTTTAATGTATTGTTATATATTATTTTCTTTTTATGTATCTACTTTTAATATTGGTGCAATAAAGAATTATAAATTAAATTAAAAATTAAAGAATCATGGATAAACTAAATCGTGATGATCAGGTATCAATTATATAATTTCTATATCATTAGAAGTTACCAAGATTTCTAATCTAATAAAAGAAGACAGTTTCAAATTATCCGATAACGATGAATCATTATGTATTTTTTACAAATTTCTGAGTCACCCTATCAGGTCGATTAAAGATATTTCTTATCAACCCACAGATAAAATAATGCAATCATACATTTGAGCCAATTTCTTAGATAAAATAATTCTGAATAATAATATTAGTATTGTTAATGTAGGAAAATACTAAAAAAATTAATAAATTTAGATGAGAGAGAAGATTAAATAACGAATTGATACGGTTGTACGATGGCGCAGGTTAACGAAGTTTCTCGTAATATTTAATTATCGGTTTATACGCCTGTGCTTATCTTACTTTACCTACCTTTATCATACCTTATCATCCATTAAAAAAAATATTGAACTCTGTTGCTCTGTGCATGTAATGACTACGCAAATTGGCATCATCAATATCTTAAGACATTTCTAAATTCAATGTCCAAGTTTCTTTTTACGGACTACTCTAATGGTGTTGGCCGCAGCTGGCCTTTACAGCTTCACCGGACGATAGGGCGCGAGTGCAGATGGCACTCCAAACCCGCGGAAGGACTTATGGAGCGGCTGAAGGCCAACTCCCGCCTAACGAATACGACTTTAGTCTGAGGGTTCGAACCTCGGCTCAGACCGTCGTAACATCGATCCCCGTTTGAACTAAACAGGGGATCTGTCGGAGGGGCAAAAAGTCCAAGTAATGACTCACTATTGATCACAAATTACCAATTTATTTATATTTCAGTAATATAATTTCGTTGTTTGTTTAATTTATTGTTCGTCATGATCTTCTTATCATCCATAATCTCATATAACCCTCTATGACTCATATTAAATAATATGATGTTATGACATAATACATGAATCATGCAATTTTTTCTCTATTTGTAGATGATTAACTTTGGACCCGATTAAAGGAAATAAATATTTATGAGATGGTTTAAATTTATCTATTTCATAATGTACAAATCATTTTCATACAAACTTTATCGTTTCGTAGTTTATAGCGGCTAGACAGATACACGGACATGACGTAATTATTCTAATTTTAAAACATGGCATAATTATCAGATTAAATAAAGCATTAGTAACTTTACGTTTAAAGTGTAATAAAATTGATCGATTTGACATTTTAGTTAGATTCAAATACCCAAGAAAATTTACAAATTTTGGCCTTCAGTTGGAATCAAATATCCAAAAATATTTAGACTTTTTGTTCATTAATTTCTTTGTTTGTATGCGTGTTGGTGAGTCAGCTTGTTGTTATATTTTTTCTGATGTCACCACGTTTCCATTTTACTAATTACTTTCTTGGAAGTAAATAAAAGAAAATAGACAGGATTTTACATGAAAACAATAATGTTGAGCATAGTTATGAAAACACATGAAGTAAAAGACCATTCATACATTATTTTCATTCAGTCAGATCTGTAGGATATCAGGGAAATGTAAATAATGAGACAGAAAACTACAAACAGTACTGTAGGATACAAACAAAACCATTCAGGAGAACTAATTAATCCAATAATACTCACATGGCCACTTTGTCCGCAGGCGACAGTGGTTTGTCATTCGGCAGACGACAAAAAGATTCAGTGTATCTCATTTTAAACCAGGGAAACTGTTCTTGGATGAAATCCATCGTCTGCTTTATAGAACACACTTTGGGTATGCACAGTGCAAACGTTGGTCCAATTTGTGCGGTGGTCATCATTGGGAACACTCTGAAAAAGAGAGATTTATAAGAAGAAGAATAATATTTTAAGTATATCACATCATGTTTGGTCTTATTATAATTGGAGGAGAAGTAAATTAGTTCCGTGAAGTTAAGATCTAGATGCGATTAAGAAATCTAATGAATTCCTTGATATTGATACAGGTAATAAAAATTAGATGGACGTAATTGATTAGCAAGAAATTCTTTCAAGCTCATTGAGAAGTCAAGAAACCAAAACTTTAACTCTTCGACAGACATTATTCTTACAAACGTGAACATTCTATTTCATTATTATATTCTACATAAAATTTAAGGTACTTTATCTAAACCAGATTCTATGCTCTAATACTGTTTGGATATATTTTCCAATACAAAGCTAAGGCAAAGCTTCTAATATAGTATCTATGTAATTTCTAAAAACCCCAAAAATATCTACATGATATGAATAATTATAAGTATATAAAATTTCAAAAATTGCATACCTGGTCTCAATATCTTCAACAGGTTCAATATCTCTGTCAATTCCAGTCATCATCATAGCCCACTTCCTTAATTTATAGTATTCCTCAATGTCTTTCTTCATATCGCTGTTCGAAGCAGGCCATGGAATTTCTGGCAAATCCAAATCGGCATAAGGCCAATTCACCTCGACTGGCCTTTGATCGAATGGTATAATCACAGTGCAATATTTCCCCTGGATTTCCATGTCCTGTACGTTACGATTTATGCTGAGACATTGGTAGTAGTCTCCAAGGTCGTTGAGGTTTCCAGACAAGATTCCTGGTGGAACCTTAGCACTGGCATCAAGAACTGTAGGAAAAGAAAATGGTTTTAATTTTTTCGAGTACGCAACAACGGAGTCTAATTCTCAGGCTTTATCATATTTGCATATTATTTCAATAATTGTCATTGTGATCTAAGTTTTAAATGTATGATCTGCCTGTTATTTAGATAAATTTATTAACAATTTATCCTCGTTCATTCGTAATTTAAGAGCGATGCGTTTGTCGGTGGAGCTCTTGCTATTTTCCACGATCTTCCATCATACTCTTTAAACGAAATTTGAGTAACTTAAATTCTGTTTTTATTTTAATTTATACTACCCCACATTTTTTTATATATTATATTATGGTAAAGATTTAAGTAAGAAGTAACATCAAATAATCGTTATTTAATTTAGAACCATGTATTTCGAATTAATAACATATTCTATTTCTTTATGTAGTGTTACTAAGTGATACCATCGTCTATTGACACTCATTTGTTGCTATTCAGGATGACTACTATGTCATCCTTGTTATCCGATAATTTTACAGCCTAAGCCTCTTCTGAAAATGCGCATTGCGCACTCTAATTTATATATTGTACAATAATATAATCATCACCGGTCTGAATGTTTCGAATCGAATCTGTATGTTTCGAAGCCTAATAAATAAAACATATACTATTTTACGTAATATATACTATATAAACATATGTAGTATATGTTTGTAAACATCTCACTGCTGTACATAAAATAAATCTCTCTGTATTTACAGATAAAAATGTTAATCTAAAACGTAGCGGAAATTGTGATTACAACTATCGTAGTATAGTACTAATATGTACTATATCTACTACATGCTTTAGAAGAATCAAGACGACGGATATTATTATCTCATACTATCTCATCCATGCGGAAGCAATCTGTTCATCTAATGTAGTATATTTTGAGTAACAAGTGATATGTTTCACACAAATAATGCCACGGTATGTTTTCGTTAATTTCTCATATTTTCGTTAAGAACTATGGGCTATTTTGGTAGTTAAGAGACTTATAGCACTGCGACCATTCTCATAACATTGAATGTCCTACTATGAGGACCAAACAATGCAACAATGTAGCCAAGAATTGTACTTTCAATACAATCTTTATCATGTACATCTAAAGCCTTGACACAATTTAATGTGAGGATTATAAATTATCATACACACAGGCACAAATATCGTTAGTGAGTGCTATATGAACGTATATAAAACGAAATACATTTGCAATTAATCAGCAAAATTTTAGCGTATTACCAACGTCGATAACAAATTAGGTGTGTCAAGAATTATAACTGATTGTGTATTTTATATACTTGATTAGAATAGCAAATAGACTGACGGTTTACTTCAACGAGTTTAAAACCCCTATTTCAATAGTTGTCACTATAGATATTGGGGTTCCAACTATACCTAGGATAACAGTTGATACATACATACACTGTATTACCTTAGATGTTTTTTTAATGGATGATTGTGGAATGGTGCACCCCTCTGTATTAACGGTTTGCGCTGGCGGGGCATCAGTGGAAGATGATAGAATGAATATGAGGTTAGGTCAGTTAGTCCATGACAAATTCACTAGGAATTTACCACGGTTTCCAGGGGAATTGCATGGAGGTCAGCCTGATATGGTACATGCGATGGAGTGACTAGTTCACAGTACTAACAATCCATTTCCCTCAGCCTTAGATGTTATAATTACTGTAGCAATAAACCTTCTCATTTGTTAAGCCATATAGGGTAATCAGAGGTCTTGTCAAATGTTGTCTTGGTCAATGCAACATTGACAATTTGATTGTTAGGTTTGAATCCAACATGGATTTTTATTGAATTTGGTATTGTTTTACGAAAACCCATTTCATTACATATATTATACATAATAATAATAATCTCAGGACAATTCACACTACACTAGACCCAAGTTAAGCTAGCTAAAGCTTGTGTTATGGGTACTAGATAACTGATACAAATACATAGATTTGTTTTTCGTTAATACATACATATTATATATAGAAAACACCCAGACCGATACAAACAATTATACTCATGAATACAAATGTTTTCGAGAAATCGAACCCGCGACCATCGGATGTAAAGCGGTGTGCTAGACCGCTATACCACCGAGGTGATCAAATAAATACATATTATTAATGATATTGTTTCTAAGCCTAATCTTGACTGGTAACTTGTAGTCTGGACCAAACTCTATTCCTTGCCCCGTGATCCCTTTAGAAGTAAAACAAATGTTATACGTGGGTGTAGATCCAATAACTGTCGGAGTTTGATCATTAGTGGGGAAGGTCGTAACTTTGTAGATTTCGTTTGGAGTAACTCTGTCTCTTCTATTTCTAAATCAGTATCTCTGTAAGCTACTTTTCATTCATTCCAAATATATCAAAATGCATATTCTTTTAAACAACTCAGTAAATCTCAAAGAACTTACATCTCCATCTTAGGGTATTATTTGCCAAGAAATACAACTGCTCATCGCACTGCGTCGAATTCAACACTAAATCATACAAATGCCTATCGAAAGTGCTACTCAGGCATGCACAGTTATAAACTAACGTTAAAATTAAAACTACTGACACTAAACGGAACATTATCACTGGCGTCTATTCTATTTGAAATCAAAATCACAAATCAGTACATAATAGACGGCATCCATTATAATATATTGATATTTATTGTAATAATGTAGATATCAATAATTTGAGAGATAACAGATAGTGTGTTAGGGTTCCTCAAATCAACACGAATTTTGATAATATTTTATCAAAGTAATTACATTATATTGAAATATTTTTTTCTATGTATTATACGGAATTAGGTGTAATTTTCCGAAAGTTTATTTCATTACTTAATGTATTTATATTATTTTGTTTAATTCTGCTACCATTAGCAAGTGTGAGAGGCAGTTGGAGTTTGGTCGCGGAACAGTTAACACAAGGCTTTCAAGCTATATCCGAACTCTATTCAGTGTCTGATGATGCCTCGTCCAGAGCCGAAACACGTGTCGCAATATTATATAATTGAGGGTAACGCAGCTGAAGTCGAGTCACAACGCGAGTTTCAAAGCGTTTGTGGCCCTGGTCCCCACCGACTTGCTGCCCACCTTCATGAAAGAGGACTACTGGCCGAAAGGTGTGGTGTATCGGCGCTACCGTGGCAGATTGCCGTCTTCAGTGCCGTGATCACACAGACAATATTATTGTATTAGTTTTTAAATATTATATTATATGTATGTTAGTCTATAAGGTATTTATAATATGGGCCTAGTTGCCTGAAATAAATGAATAAATAAAAAAAAATAAAATAAAAATGTGGGTGTAGACTCAATAACGGTCGGAATTTGATCACCATTAGAAAAGATTGTAAATGTTATAGTAAATACGGTCAAGTTTACGCATTGAATATTTATGGGCTCACACATGGTAATAGTAGTGAAGTTAAACAAAATGATACAAACCATTAAGTATTTCTTTTTAATGTATGAGAGTGAAATAGTGCATCTGTTTACGCCAACAGTATAATCTGGCGTAGTTCCAGTGGAGTATAATAGGATGTGTATTGAGTCTGGTTAATTAAATTCTTATGATATGTCAATTTAATCATAATTATGTGTATGAGGCATAATAATCGATTTTGTACAATCTATAGACTACAAGTTTCCATAATGTTCGCAGTTCATTTGTTTCTATTCTTTACACAAAATATTAGGTCATTCGCTAAGTAATTTAGTTTTTCTTGAGCTGTACGTATTTAAACCCAGGCCTTTCAAATGGTCATAAATAATTGGATTCCATAAATTTCTCTCACCAATCTCACGGGTAGTTACCGATATTCGCCGATTTGCATCAACTAATGCCTTTATCGTGTCTTTATCAGCTTCAACAGGCCTTTCAGAACGTGGAGCATATTGGAAATTTTGCAAACAAGTTCTGGCACTTGCATACTGTCAACACATCGACATTGGTTAATTTATTTCGAGGTTTAACAGCATTTTTACCTGTTAAATTTAAAAATGAAACGAAAATATTGCCAATTATTCTTCAGGTTTTCGATTTGAATAAATACTATTAAATCCTCCAACAACCTAATAATATATACTGAACCTCATTTGCATAATCAGAAATCAATAATTACATTGATTATCATAAAAAGATAGAGAGCAATACTTTTCTTATCCATCGAGCATGATGATACCGTGAACCAAGAATGGAACGTGATTCATCCATTTTATTACATGTGAAAGTATTAAGATCCTATTCATTTTCCTGGTCTAGGACATATTCTTTATAATTTTGGGTAATATTGTCCAATTATTGATTATAGTCTCCCAAAAATAATATCAAAAAATATCACATCACGAGAAGGTCGACAATTTTGTAACAAAGGGGCGAGATCGGTCTTAAATTTCATGCCTAACGCTGTAAAATTCAAAAATCCAAATTTTTAAGTAATAAACCACGAAAATTTATTATTAACTTTATATGTGTAAACATCTGACGACCTCGGTGATCTAACGGACACCGCTTTACGACCGATGGTCTCGGGTACGATTCCTCGCACGGCACAAACATTTGTATTCATGAGTATGATTGTTTGTATCGGTCTGGTTGTTTTCTATGTATAATATGTATGTATTTACAAAAAAATATATATCTATATATATTTATCAAATATCTAGTACCCATAACATAAGCCTTAGCGAGCTTAACTTGGGGCTAGATGGCGCTGTGTGAATTGTCCTGAGATTATTATAATTATTATTATATTGTAGAAATTTTGTTATCGAGAGTACACTCGGTTTACTAATGTAAAATTGATAAATATGTGGCGTCAAACTAGGGAAGGGAGATTCTCGGCATTATAACCAGCTTGCATTGCTCAGATGTTGCACATGCTCATGGGCAGCGGTAATCACTTACCATCAGGTGAGCTATAAAAAATGCATTCCAGTTTAAACGAGGATATGATAGTGAAAATTCAAGATACTTTACAACAGTAAGCTGCTATTTTAAATACTTACAGAATTGTTAGAAAATTTCTGGATATCCAAACGCCCACGTTTGCGCCACGGTTTAGTCGCTGAACGGCCAACTAAGCTTCAAAGTTATATCCGAACTCTATTCAGTGCCTGGTAATGCCTCGTTCAGAGACGAAACATTTGTCGCCATACGGGTGTATACTCAATAATGACAGCCTCGGTGGTCTAGTGGTTTAGCATACCGCTTTACTATCTGATGGTCTCGGGTTCGATTCCTCGCACGGTACAAACATTTGTATTCATGAGTATGATTGTTTGTATCGGTCTGGGTGTTTTCTATATATAATATGTATTTATTTACAAAAAAAATATCATCTATGTATTTATATCAGTTGTCTAGTACCCATAACACAAGGTCTGCTTAACTTGGGACTACATGGCGCTGTGTGATTTGTCCAAAAAAAAAATGATCGAAATTTGATTAACATTAGAGAAGGTCGTAACGGTAGTAAAATCTCCGCACTGAATATTTGCGGTCTCACACATGCTAATTGTAGCGGAATTAAACAAAATAATGTAAATCCATTAAGTAGTGAAATGGATTTCCTCAAAATAACACCTAATTCGATAAAATGTATTAATGCGTAAGTGATTATTACAACGTATGATTCAGGCTTTGAGACTGTATAGCTTTGTAATTGCGCAATATATGCATATTACAAAAGCGGAACTAAAGAATCATTACTTGCATTTTACTATACAATATACCTAATAAACTTGATGATTAAACATGTCTGATACAATAAAAGTAATATCTAATTAGTGAAATTTTTGATAACATCATCAGTATGAATGCTTTTGGAACTTATCTAACGATTTTGGGCGCAGTGGACCTTTACAGCGTCACCAAATCTTAGCAGGTGAGTGCAGATTGCACTCCAAATCTGCGGGAGTTTTTTTTTTTTTACGGATGATAATGGAATGGTGCACCCGCCTGCGCTAACGGTTTACGCTGGCGGGGCACCAGTGGACGATGATAAGATGAGCATGAGGTCAGGTCAGTTAGCCCATCGTGATAAATTCATCAAGAATTTATCACGATGGTTTCCAGGGGGAACCGCGTGGAGGTCGACCTGACATGGTACATTGCTAGCAATGAGATCATCAGTCGACATTACTAACAATCACCTTTCCCCCCAATCTGCGGGAGTTATCCAACGGTTGAAGGCTAACTCCTGCCTGACTTTGGTTAGATACTTTGGTTTTGGAATGGACTGAGGGTTCGAACCTCGGTTCAAGCCGTCACAATTCGTCGATTCCCGTTTGAATTGAGCGGGGTTTTTATCGGATTAATATTTGTTTAATACAATTTCCAATGTATAATAAAGTAATCATCAACTACATTGCGAATAGGAACTGTACTATCCCATTATGGTAAAATTATGAGATAGATGTCCCATTACAGATGCATGTGATGTTGAAATTGAGGATATTATTTTTATATAGAATGGAGTATCCTGCGGTAACGTTAAAAGTCTAAAGTCTTGGGAGGCTATAAAGAAACTTGCGTCCAAAGATACAAATCTAAACTCACGAGCAATAGCGCGAGAATGATTATAAATAACAAGACTTTAATATTTGTTTAAACTTTTTTATAGCATATAAATAAATCATTCATGAATCATTGAAACTTAATTTAATACGAATTGTATTGTGTATGTCTGTGTGTACGATTTAATAAAATTGACTACTTGCCTTACTACGGGTGCATATAAGTACATATTTTGTGTTATATGGTGCCCCATCTACAGCTTCATTTTTTTATATATCTTCCACACAAGAGCTCTCCGACAACTTTTGAGTGGAAGATATTGCTAAAATATTTTCAGGCTAGTCCGACAAACAAGTCAAAAATGCTTAAATTAAAAAAAACAGGAACGTAGTGTGGTATAGTGATGCAAATCAGCACGTTCAATAAAAGATTGTGCGATGTACGTTTTGTATAACGACACGTAGGTCACGCAGTACCTCATATATATAGTTTATGTAATTAGTCTAAGCGAGAGTAATTCAAGATGTAACAGTTAAATATACAAGTTACACTCTACTGTGTGTGTTTACTCTCACCACCGCTCCTGTCATCACATGGCGACCGTGACAGGACTTAATATACCTGATGGCTTTCTCTACCAGTCAACTATCATGCTGAACAGAGAGGATATAAGGCGATGCATTATCATCATCATCATCATCATCTGCTTCTTCCTTATCCCATTTATTTGGGGTCGGTGTAATATGTTTTTCTCTTCCATTCATCTCTGTTCGCAGTCATTCCGTTATTTACTCCCTTTCTCACCATATCATCTTCACACAGTCCATCCATCTCTTTTTCGGTCTTCCTCTACCCTTATAACCATCCACATTCATATGTAACACCGTCCTTAGGACATGATCTATGATGCATTAATGTAACCTAAATTACGTGGTACTGTGATGACGCAGGTAACATCTAGTTTGTAATTAAGGTATAAAATGAGTAAGATGTCTTCATAATGGCAATAAACAATTGCATATTGTAGACCACAATTCCGTAACCGCCGAGCTCTAGAGGCCGCTGGGCCCTGGCGATCATGAATATCAGAAGTTTCATTCCGCGGATATCAAATCGCTTCTCCCACGAGACGTTGTATAGGTCCAGGGCTAAATCTTCACCGCACTGTAACAAGTTATGAACAAGTTGCAATTTCTGATGAGCAATTTACAATGAAATACAGGAGTAATAGTAGTAGTACCGTTAATGTCTATAATCTATACATATAAACAAAATTGGAGTGTCTGTTTGTAATATTGAAATAACCATTGCATGCATATACAAATACGGTACATACACCAAAATAACATTTTTTACAATTTTTATCTGTCTGTTTGTCATTTACATGCTTTGGCTTTTTCAGCCGCTTCACAAGCCGCACCGGCTCTATTGTTGGTTCCATATAGATACGCAGGCCCCGGCCCATCTTCCATGGATTCAAATTGCAATTTCTTCGGATATATTAATGCGAAGGCCATTCCATATGTGCAATATTTGAACGTTTCATTAAATAATTTACAGTTTCCTTTGTACAATTGCTTCTCATTTTGTTTCCACAAATTTCAAGCCTTTAGACTTATGCAAAACTGCAACGTTGAGTAGGTTTGCATAAATAATACTATAATTTGTACCATGTACATTGCGCTCGCTATTGCATCGCAAGTCTTCAATTTGTTACCTTTTGCAGTAATGAAAGAGTAAGTAATAAGCGTTTCGCAATTTCCAGTTCATATGAATTGCTGTTAATGATCTTGGGAAGCCTTTCCCATTAATTAGGAAATGGTCACCGTACAGATTACAAGCCTGCTCGTTATTAACAAATGCAAAATGCTGCTCATTGTATTCAATACATTTCAAGGATTTTGTAGACAATTTATTATTAAAAAATTACATCGAACCATAAGCCCATTTTTAAAAAGAGTTTTTATCCTTATCCTTACTCATTACTAATATTATAAATGCGAAAGTAAGTCTGTCTGTCTGTCTCACTTTCACGCCAAAACTACTGAACCAATTTAAATGAATTTTTGTACACATATAGTCTAGAACCTGAGATAGGAGATAATCTACTTTTTAATAAAAAAAAAAGGGTTTGTAAGGGGTTGAAAGGGGATGAAAGGTTATATGAAAGTATAGACAATTTACGCGGACGAAGTCGCGAGCACATCTAGTATGTATATAAAAACTCTTTATAAAAATAGACTTACTAAGTGTTTTTATTTTATTTCTCTTTCGAAAAGGAGTCATTAGATAAGTCCTAAGATAAAAAATGCAGTTGTATTGGGAAAGTCGTCCTTTCCGACGTTGGTTCAAAAGTACTAATTTCACCGAGAGCTAATTATGCCACATTTTATCCTTAACATTTGAAGCAACAAGCGTGAACATTATTTAAATTCAAATCATTTATTAAGCAAACACTGGGCGCATCTTACAGGGGAATTTTATTCTGCGAACGTACCCACCGAAACATCTTTTTGTTTCCTTTAATTAACATATTTTTTCGTAATTTTGCATTTTATATCTCCATAGACAGACAACATAATTTAGATTTATGCGTAATACGTTGGCATAGCATAATATATACTTGTGGTGGGTAGATGGGCTCGGTGGTGTAGCGATTTGATGGTCGCGGGTTTGATTCTTTGTACGGTGCAAACAATTGTGTCCTTGAGTATGATTATTTTGGATGTTTGCTATGTACATTATTAAAAGTAATAATATCTCAGAACAATTCACATAACGCCATCTAGTCCCAAGCTAGGCAAAGTAATACATTTTTTTAATAATTACAAACATATTCTACATAGAAGACAATGACATATTGCGCCAACCCCAAATTTAATGGGATAAAGGCAAAAAAAGGCATATAATGAAACAAATTCTACATAGATAACACATTGTCCGTTGATTCCATTGAAAAATTCCGTTTTGTTTTTAAGAAACGGGAGAGCAATCAATAAAAAAAAAAAATGTCTATGGAAAATATATTTACGTAACTAAAAAATGGAAGGACAAACTATATGTCGGCTTATCTAGCAACCTTGGAAAAATCTATTGACCAAAAATACAATCGCCTAATTTGTTTCAATAAATTTTGATGGAAATCAAAATTTCCTTTAGAAACCAAAGAAATTTTATAGAATAATGTTTCTAACTAACAAAATAATAGTCATTCCAAAGTTTTGGACAATACTTTAATAAAATATCATAGGAAAATTAAATAGAATAGAATATATTGACTCTCTTAAATATATACATACAATAATAATGACATAATAAAAAAACAACAAATAACACGTATATAAATACATACACAGGAACACATACAAAAAAATTATTCATACTTAGCAAATTGTAATAGATTGTTAAATTTAGTACAAATACTGGACCTAGATATACTTTGTTCTATTATTTATTACACACAAATAAAAAAACAACACACACATAAATACACACACATCAGAAGCAGTACGTGGGTTCCTAATAATAATAATATTCCGGGTTCAAATTATGGAACATCATAAGTTGTATGACAAATAAATGCTCGTAAAATAATAAATGTAAGAACAATACCTGTGTCAAATTGCTGGCATATACGCAATTTATGTATGTGTGACATATTGTAGTTATACCGAAAATTATGTGTTTCGGATCAGGTGACGTAAGTATGTACACCTGATACAAATTGAACGAAACACAAGTTGATGTCATAACAAAGATCAGAAACAACCAGGGCTCAAAGAAGTTTTGCAAGTCCTCATAGTATTTTAATGCCTTCTGATGAATTTGAATTCCTTGTTTTATTTTATTATTCAGTTCCAAACTATCCTCAGCCCCTTCAAAGGCTTTACTTATTATATAACTAACATATTTTAGTTTAAGGCACAGGTGCGTCGTGGAGATGCAGAAAAAACCTTCGAACCCGATGAAATTAGGGACTAAACACATAACAGTTAATAAGCTCATAATGAATATGAATTCAAAATATGGCGAGATATCCTGAACAGCAGTTAAATGTGCTATATCCATCTCATGTACCATATACCGACCCGGATAATCCATTGTCAAATTATCATATATTAGACATATACCAGCGTAAACCGGGTATTGCAACGCAAGAAAAATCGGCAATACCACCCAAACCAACTGACCAATTCTTGCCTTTTTAATATATTCTTCGCAAGTATCTTTAAACGCTTCTTTCTCGTTATTGAATTCAATCATATCGTCAGATATAGTGTTCAATATGTTTTCGAATTTCTCGGTGTTGTATATGCAATATATAGTTTTGAATATAAATAAAATAATAAGGATACCAACAGTCAAATGTCTAGTCAGGTTGACCATGTCTAATCGAATCAGACTTGTAACTAACGCAGTCCCAAACCAATAGAGCTGTATTGAATTTGCAAACATGAAGAAAACAAAAATGCCAAGTCGTTTCTTTATGGTCACTCTGTTTGGGTATATTAATGCAAACGCCAATCCGTAGGTGCAATACTTGAATGTTTCGTCAAACGATTGAAATCTTCTACTATCTTCTGTGTGCTTTTTAGTTCTTCTTAGTTCTTTCGCGCTCATTGTTAGTTCTACCACAAGATACAAACCCAACTTGGTACACTTGCAGGTAAGTATTGCTAGTTTCAGAAGGTTAATTTCCTTCACAATTAAATAATTTCCTTCGCAGTGCAATAGTAAGTCTTCAATTTGGTACGTATTACAGTGATGAAAGAGTAAGCAATAAGTGTTTCGCAATTTTCAATTCATATAAATTGCTTTTAATAGTCTTGTCAAAGGTTTTCCCAGTAATTACGATATAGCACATTGTAAAGATTCCATAACTGTACTAGATATTAAAATATAATGCAAAAACACTTACACAAATTTAAAATTGCTTATTTTAAATCACATATAATTTTAAAATAGACTTATTGATTTACAGCGGCGTTTCCTGCAATGAAACGAAATAATCAACTTGAGCACAAGACGAATTACGTTTCACAAATTCGAATACAAATTTGCAAAACAAACGATGCTGTTTTACACTGAACACCATATTTATGCAATGGAAACGAAGCAATTCAATCGAAGCAATTCAATCGAAGCAATTCAATCTGCCGAAACGGCATTCGTTATTCAAATTCAAATTCAAAATATCTTTATTCATGTAGGTCTATTACAGACTCTTATGATATGTCAAATCTACCGTCTATATGTCAAATTTATTAACCTATAGCCAATCTAATTTTGTGCAAATAATACTAAACAATTAATTAAATCAAGCCATGCTAAATATACTCGTAATTCACTAACTGAGCCGCGCAAGTTCCTGCGCATCACACTCACTTGAAGTTTATCATTATATGTTTTTTTTTTATCTCAGGACAATTCACACAGCGCCATCTAGACCCACGTTAAGCTACCTAAAGCTTGTGTTATGGGTACTAGATAACTGATACAAGTACATAGATATTTTTTTTTTCGTTAATACATACATAATATACATAGAAAACACCCAGACCGATACAAACAATCATACTCATGAATACAAATGTGCCGTGCGAGGAATCGAACCCGCGACCATCGGACGTAAAGCGGTGTGCTAGACCGCTATACCACCGAGGTCGTCAAATGATCGAATTAACCAAATATCTATTTAAATATATATAGGTATATATAAATATTGTTGCAAACTCTTTGCACATTTTTATGTGTTTATTTTCTATCGATTTTAAATGTATTTTCTTTTAGAATTGTCATATTTTTTTATTGTCACTTTTTGCCTTACAACAATTTGCACATGTCTCATTATTATCTAGACACGCGGGAGCGTGTCAAAGCCGAGTTCAAGTAATAAAACTGGCAAGCAGCACCGTGTGTATATTTACACGAACCATTTGGAGCCACTTTTGACCCCCTCATAACTCAAAAACTCTTTCACACAAACCTGTCAAATTTGGTTCATATATTGAGACTTGCGAGATAAATATGTGTTCCAAATTTCATAAACATATCTCAAACGGTTATTTAAATATTAACGTCCAAATATCGTCATTTTTATCACTGATCAACTATAGATCAAAATTATAACCCACTTCCAGATGACCTAGGAAGTTCAAATTTGGCATGCAGATAGGTAATTAGGTGAATATAAAGGAAAAAATCTGAAACTGGTAAATTGTTATCATTTTTTTTATTGGGGGTTTGGGCAATTACCTGGTGCAGTGACCTGTATAGATCTATTGTGTGTGTAACAATAAGTATAAATATAAATAGTTACCAACCACGCAACAATTTATAATATGGTCCGTTTGGAATTCAATATTATTTTTATTAAAATATATTTAATTTCTATGTTAACAGTAGACCAAGTTATTCAATATAACATTAGGTATTAGCGCGGGAAAGTACCATCAAAGTCGGTCCAGCCGTTTCAGAGATTAGTAATAACGAACAGACAGATATTTTTTTAAGGAATTGTTTATATGTACGTACAGTATATACTTTCATGTGCATTTAGTTAAAAGATGTAAATTTGAAATTACAAATAGACACTTCAATTTTATATATTTGTAGAGATAGTCATGAAGGGTTGATAAACAAGGGATGTGTTGACATGGGGCGGGTACACCGGCTAGGACAGATGTCTCATTAATTACGTCCAAGGTTTTAGGTTTTATTCAATATCCACCTGGTGCACTAATGATTTTTTTGACAATAAAAACTATTCCCGGAAGTTAAATACCATATTGTTTGATTTAGTATATATTTATGTTTATTATATATTTATTATAAATGTAATTTTATTGTTTAGGTATTCAAAATTCAAAAATTCAAAAATCATTTATTCATGTAGGACATTTTAGCCGCTTATGAACGTCAAATTTTTACATTATAATTTTATTTTTTCCCTACCGTCCAGTTCGGTATATAGATCCAATTGAGAAGAACTGGCAAGAAACTCAATTGAATTACTTTTTTATTCAAGTACATATATATATATATATATATTTATCTTTATGTATATTGTATCAGTATCTGTATTTTGGATATTGTATTTTTATGTTTAGTTTTAATTATTTATGACATTTTTATAAAAATTATTATTTGCACTTTTTGACTCACACAACATTTCCTATGCCACGCTTTATTGTGTTGACTGGAAGAGTTCTCTTTTAGAGATAAGTCCTCCTTTGTTAACATTAGTTGTAATTAATATACTTACAAATGTATTTAAGTGCGATAAAGAATATTTAATAATAATCTCAGGACAATTCACACAGCGTCATCTAGAACCAAGTTAAGCTAGCTAAAGCTTCTGTTATGGGTACTAGATAACTGATACAAATAAGTAGATATTTTTTTTTTGTAAATACATACATATTATACATAGAAACACCCAAACTATATATTTTTTTGTCATGAATACAAATGTTTGTGCCGTGCGAGGAATCGAGCCCGCGACCATCAGTCGTAAAGCGGTGTGCTAGACCGCTAGACCACCGAGGTCGTCAATTACTTATACACTTACTATGGTATACAGGAGTACTTTAAAACTTGGTATTATACATTTTATATATGACTAGCATACCCGGCCCCGCGTTGCTGTGGCTAAGGTTCTTGAATAAAACAATATTGCGACTATAAATTGAGATGTAAGCTATCCTATCTTTCAAGTTGGATCAAATTGCACACAATGTGCAAATCAAATTTGCAATCGGTATAGTAGTTTAGGAGTCCATCGCGGACAAACAACGTGACACGTAATTTTTATATATAATTTTGTTTTATTTTATTTTTATTTTATAAGTTTTTAATAGATAATTTCATTTTCAAAAAATTTCTTATTACTAATGTTTATTCTATTCTTATTTGCTACTAGCTGTACCCGCGACTTCGTCCGCGTGGAATTTAACAAAAAGTATATTAGAGAATTTTTCTAAAAGAAGCCTTAGTCTGTCATTCTGAGACTAACTGTCTGTCTGTCTGTTTATTCCGGCTAATCTCTGAAATGGCTGGACCGATTTTGACGGGACTTTTATTGGCAGGTAGCTAATAGCAGCTACCTGCCAATAAAATTTATGTCAGAACGCAGACTCATCACAAGAAGAACGAAAAAGAAACTTGTGTGTTGCTGTTTTAAATAAATGTTATACTAAGTAAATACAATAATAAAAAGTGAATAAATAGAATAGTAATAAAACGAAGTTTATACTTCCCAAACTCGGCGTTCGTTAACCAAGTTCACGGGATATTTATCAAGTTAATATTCCGTAATAAAACACCACGGTTTATGTGTTTCCGATAATCAAATCTTATTAAAATGGTATTGTTAACAAAGCTTTTTTCAAGATACGGCCTTTAGATAATACCTGGATTTCGTTTTTTTAACGACACATAGGTAGAATATATACATTAGAGGAAGTATGAAAGTGGCACCGGTGTCAGAGAGGTTGAAGAGTAATCGTCTATCATGGTATGGACATGTAATGCGTAGCAACGAGGATAATATTTTAAGAAAGATGTTACAAATGAATGTGGATGGTTATAAGGGCAGAGGAAGGCCGAAAAAGAGATGGATGGACTGTGTGAAAGATGATATGGTAAGAAAGGAAGTAAATAACGAGATGACTGCGAACAGGGATGAATGGAAGCGAAAAACATATTACGACGACCACAAATAAATGGGAAAGTGTGTATATTTTGATATTATTTACTATTTTTGTTACTTGTTTTTTGTCTCAATTTTGTATTCTATCTATTAATATTCAGATACATTTTTTATACACCTAATAATTAAATAATAAATAAATAATTTACCGTGGACAATTAATACAGCGCCATCTAGTCCCATGGTAAACAGAGCTTGTGTTATGGATACTAGACAACTGACACAAATACACCTTTTTTTAGCTAATAAATATATAATATACATAAAAAACCCATCCTATCTTTTCTTATCTGAACATACTCTTCTTTTATTCATACCCAAAATGGGCGATAAAAGAAAATAATAATAGAAATGTACCTATTAAAAGATAGTAATAGCGAACTATCCTTTTTCTGCTGTTGAATGCTAAGTACATAATATTGACTTTATTTAATATTTTGTACTATTTTACATATAAATGTCATTTTATTTCGATACAAACAATCATGCTCATAAATAAAAATTGTTTGGAACCGAGGAATCGAACCCGCGACCATCGGAAGTAAACCGTGTGCTAAACCGCTAAACCACCGAGGCCGACAGCCTATTCGGAACCTACAGTTTGCAAAAGTAAAATAGTTCTGCAAACGGATTTTTATTAGTCTATCAGTTTTTTTTATTACAACTTCATGGAATTTATAGAGTTTAGAAGACAAAGCGGATCAAATATCTGTCGTTCAGATGAGAAACTATGGACGATTACAACAAAGCGTCATCAAAGGGATCCGTTGGAAAAGCTTATGCAACAAAGAATTCCTTTGTTTCAAAGCCTCTCCAATAGTCAGCAGACGACGAAACCTTTGGGGACATTCTATAGATTTATTAGTTCGTTTTTATGTTCAATAAAAACTTATTTGTAATGCTCATTGGC